AAAAACTGAGTCAAGACTAAGAAGTCAACCCCCTTCCAAGAGCTGAAAAGATAAATTGCACCTATATAGCTTGTACTTTAAAAATGTAAATTAAGTCTATATGTGTAATTCCTCTGTGACAGCTTCCTCTCTTAACAGACTAAGTCATCCATCTGTCACAGGAAGAAAAAAAACATATTTGCCACTCAACCACAAACCCAACAAAACTGCTCAGATTACTCAGCATCACCTCAGTGCGTGGTGAGCAAGCAAACTGCTTAAAAATAACTAAACAACTGGCAGAACAAGACAGAGTGATCAGGGGTAAAAACTAGTATTTGCCTTGAAATGGCAACAACTGCTGCATATGCTGGCTGGAATTACTAACATAGCATTATTTACAGTTCCCACACCTTTGCTTCTTTCTGAAATAAAATAAAATAAAATAATGGTTTCCAGGATAAGTTTATATGCCATAATCCAAAAGCACACATCTTAATGTACTTCTACCTTCTACCCCAGAAGTAAAAGGTAGAAACTTTTCATATTGCACCTTTCCCCTCTTAGACAAAACCAGCCAAAATGCAACTTGTCAGCATCTCACTTGAGACATAAACTAGAGAGAGAGGTTTGGAAGCTGTGGGCCTGTCCCACTGGTTGATCAGATCATATTTAATCATATTAAGGCATCTATTTTTTCATTATTCCGTTTGGTTGATATTTAGAAACAAAAAGGCAACACTATTTTAGAAATCTGGCAATTAGAATTATATTAGCAGATCCAACTGACATTTGGAATTAATTATAAAAGAGGGGAAAAAGGGTTTGTGCTCACTCTTGATCTTTTAGAATGTAAAAATAAGGTCTGATAAGCATATTTGCCATCCTGGAAACATCAAGATTTATTTTGATTTGTTGGCTTATAATAAACCAACTCCTTATTTAATGATCCGAGCTGAGATCCAGAGAAGCAGACATTTAATATATATAGCATGAAAGTCCTTGCAGAATTTTGATGCATGATTTAGCCAGTATTACTATTACTTCTCCCAAATTTCAGCAAAAAATCAGGGAACAGCAGAATTCTAAGCTGTTAATGTAAGGTCTTATTTACCAATAGAGAAGCAGCCTTCTGGTGTATCCTCTGAAGGGTAATACTTCAGCTATCACTGGCTTAAATATGTATCTTATATGATCCTGACAATTTTTTGCCAACGTAAGCAAGGCCATGACATTCAGGTGACTACATTTTGATCCCAAACTCTTCAGGCTTAGGTTCTTTAGTATTTTGTGTTTGATTGTTTGAACAAAGAAACAGCACCAAAATAATAAACTTTTGAGCAATCAGGAATATAAAAGATATGAAATATATATTTCACATATATGACATATATAAATATATATGAAATAAGCTTCTCCTCTCATTCGTTAATACTTTACTTCTATGGTAATGCTGTAAAATCCCCTCTGAGGGTTACAAACTGTTGCATTTCCTTTGGTCCAAGCCAACAGTTGTCCCACACGTGCCTGAGCCAAGCCACGTCCTCTGTCCCTGTGATGAGCTGGTATCAGACACAGCTGTTGGCAAGCTTGAAACTGTTGCTGGGTCAGTAGTTGTGCTGACATGCTCTTTAAATTAGCAGAAGACATCTGCTCAGGTGTCTTTCTTTTAAACATGACCAAGCTATCCAGTTTTCTTCAGTAATCCACTTTTTTCTTTTCATTCCTGTTTTTCCTCCTAAAAAAAATATTAGTGGACATACTGAGTTTGGGAAGCAGAAAGTAGAGACTATGCATTTCAACTGACAGCAAAATTTCCATAGATTTCAGTGTGTTCAGGTTTTCCTTCTGACCAGCCCACCACATTTGCTATGCAGATGGGATTTCCCCTACAGATCCTGCAGTTGGACCTGGGTGGGCAGAAGCAGCTCTGATTTTATCTCTGTTGTCCGTATATGCTGAGCTGCACAAACTGCTGACTGCTGAATCCTCCAGGTGAAGGACAAGACAAAAAACATTTTCAGGGATTTGAAAGGATGGAATTAACAAGACAGGAGAATGTGAGTCTAAAAGCCAGGATAAACAATACAAGGATTTTTTTCCCCTTTCAGGAGACTGAAAGGAAAATTGTCTGTAAATGTGCAGTGTTGATGGACAGCCTAACAGCGAAAACGGGAGTCTCTGAAAGCCTTAGGAAAGAAAAATTCATGACCCAAATTAAGAAATATGAACTTGACAGGTGCTTCCTGTGGATGTGGAGATGAGGGAAGCAGAAGTGGGTTCCTCAAGTAAAGGATAATGACGATTCAGAGAACAGGTAATTTGTTTCTCCTCTCCAAGGAGCTCAGCACGGGGGGAGGGAGGATCCTGGCCCTGCTAATCAAGCCGTGCCGCCCGCTGGGTGTAATGGGTGCTGCTTCTGCTGAGAGGTTGTTATGTAAGGGAGTTGCATTTTAGAAAGCTGAAAATTGCTTTTCTCAGATTGCAGCAACTTCCTTCATTTACAGGAGATGCTCCACAGGAGAAGTGGATCAGTCCATCTCCCTTCTACCCAGCAGAACAAATCCAAGCTGGGAGTCCGAGGATGTAAATGTGTGTTTACTTCATCTCCTCAATGACACAGGCTGGTTCCCTCTGGAAACATCCAATGTTTTGTCCAGTCTGGTTTTAAAAGCATAAGGGTACAGGCTCCTTCCTCTTCTGGTTCAGCAGCATTCACAGTTGGGGAGTTCTCACTGATAATGAGTATCAGTTTTCCTCAGTGACATTACTTCATTCTTAATTGCATTCCAATAAATTAAGGCTTCATAATTCTTTCAGTCTTAGTGCTTAAGTCTTCCAGGTCTTTTTACTGGGAAGTAATGTTCCTCTAACCCTAAGCCATAATTTAACTATGCTAAATTTAGTTACCTCTGTTGCGCTCCTCTCTAAAATCAGTTTAATATCTTTTGCTGTTTTCTGCAGAACTTCCTGTCTCTTGTTATATGTATTACTCAGCACAAACACTTATGTTCTTGTCTGCTTCATCTCTCCAGACTGGAAACAGGATACTATACACCTTGAAATATGTAACACCATTGTCTCGTTTCTGCCAACCTCAGTGCAAATTACTAAAGCAGGTTTATACTCACCACTAGGGCTCCCTGTGGACACCCTCCCTCGTTTCAGAAGTTATTTCAGAAAATTGTTCACTTTAGAATATAATGAGCTTCACCTTTTTGAAAATTAGGGTGATTAGGAGAATATGTTCCTAGTAGAGAAATGGGGTTCTTCCCTTCACATTTCCTTATTTTTCAGTATGTAATATGTTTTTACCACCATGTTTTACATGATGCTGTGGAGAGGCAAAGCCAGCAAGATGCATCTGCTTTGTCAAAGTTACAAGATACATACAAAGTTGTCATTCCACAGCACTGTTCTAGCAGATTCTATACCACCAGCAGCATTTATTCTACACCACCAGTTTAATGAAACATAGTTCAGAATATATATACCATCCTAGCAAGGGCAATTTAAGTGGCCTAGTGAGGTACCACATTCCAAGATGCATCTTTTTATCCTCACAGATGTGACTCCAAAAGGCAGTACCAGCAACCAGTCCTAATGTGTAAAATGTAATGTTTCACATTCTCTTTTTTTGCATTCCCAAGAAGCTTATGACACCTGAAAACTTTAATCCACCATATGCTTCACTTGATACTTAAATTGCTCTTCAGTTCTTTTTCTCACTGTTCAAAGGGAACCCTGGCTGATAAAGGATGCACCAGGAACACATGGGTTGAGGCTGAAAGGGCTCATACAAGTTGTGACAGATTCACTTCACTGAGCATTAATCCACTTTAATCCAATTGGATCACATACCAAACTAGCAAAATCCTTGAGGCTTTCACAGCATCAGTTCTGTTAATATTTAAAGGTTAACAAAGTCAGTAGATCCTGTGCTATTTGTATCTATTTGAGAACTTCAGCTGAGAATTTGTAAAATAAGTTAATGAATATGAAGTAGAGACCACACACTGATAACACTCTCTGAGGTTTGTTTTTCATTTTTTTATCCAACAGGATGTAGAGCCCCAAAATCTTCTATCAGAACGCAAGTCCCATAAGCTTATCATGCTTCAATAACTCAGTCATTTCAAGGATATCAAAGTGAGAGAAAAATACAAGAAGATGCCAAATGTTCAAATCTATTACAACTTCCTCACCGATTGGGAAAGCAAAGTGTTCCTAAATCTCTAAATGCCTCATGCAGGCACAGCAAATAAACAATCTGGGGTAGATGACAATCTCCAAAACCCAAGAGGATGGAGGAAAGATGCAGAGAGCTATAAAAAAAGCTGTCAAGTGCATCATCTTGCTGTAGCACTGTTCTTGTAAAGATGCAAGAGCACTTGCAGCTGTTAAATACTGAGGAGAAACAGCTTAACATCCAAGTGTAGCCCTCAGAGGGGATCCTACAGAGAAACAAGATTTTTCAAAGGTTGATGAAAACTTGAAGGACACCAAAACTGAAAAAAAAAAACCCACGATAAATGCGATTTAAAAATATATAAAAACATATATAACCCCCTATGTATAAAAGCCTTCCTTGAAGGCCCCAAAGGAAGAAATTATGCTTATTCATATATCTGACAGACATTTGTCCCCAATTCAATAAACTAATGTTGTAACTGATGCACTCTGCACTCAAATGCAATAGAAAACCAAGGTCTTGACCAGCTGCTGCCTTTCTGGAAAGATATCAGGGCTCTCAGGAAAGAGCAGATGTTAATCTGTGCTCAGGATGGCTCCAACCTGGCCATTTCCCTCAGCTTCCAATTTTCATGGGCAATAGCATGCTGATTCACTCCGAGCCCGGCACAGGATAGTACAGGTTTATCCCAGAAGACATTGCAGTGACAGACTCAAAATAAATGAGGACTTCAGGATCAAAGATATGATGTAAAATCCTAAAACATTTTCTGTCTCAAGGTCATCCATACGAGAAGTATTATGGGTTCTGTAATAACAGAAGCAGTCGCTTCGTTGAAATTAATTTATTTTGAGAATATCCCTTTTAATCCTCCATGCATTTTTTAGCACAAAAAGTTGAATTTACCACAACCTCCTTCATAAAACTTAATATTGTATGTCTGGTAATGTGGCTGTTTCAACAATTCCTCACTGGAAATCCCACACCTGTGAAACCTTGGCAACACTGTTAGTAAGTGACCTACACAAAGTTTAATAGAAAATTTTTACTGAATATCCTCTGTTTAATGTAAACAAGGCAGGAGGCAAAACAAGGAGTATATATTTTATATAGTTACATTATTTTACAGGGCACAGTAAGCATGAAGAACATGTTTTGAAAACCCTGTATGATATGCAATATCAGGTATGGATTTTCCATGTAGCCCCAGGTCTACTACAGGACCCTTTGATTTTACCAAGCACTTTGGGTTAGTATTTCTTTTAGCAAGACAAAGAGCGCTAAGAGAATGTCATCTGTGAGATTACGCAGCAGGTTATGGTAGAAATTACCATGCATTACAAAGCCATTCCATGATTACTTGTGCCCTGTAAAATCAAGTGTGGCAATCTTTACACTAATCATAGTGTAAGCAAGCTCGGGATTCTGGTCCTTTTATATATATATGTGTATATATATATATACATAGGTGATATACAGCCAGACTCAAGCTGTGTATCAAGTCACAGCTTTTATATTGCACAGACAATATATAGTAAGAACATTACACAGACAGAATCTGAATACCAGGAATATTACAGTCATATGAGAAACTAAGGACAAACTTGTTCTACCAGAGCTACCACATGGCTTATTACAAAATTTTCTAAATCAGACTCTAAATCAAATACATACTATAAATGAGAAAAAATGTAAAAAATGCTTCTATTTACACACATGTGCATCAGGATTAAAATGTGGGTGGGGTCTGCCTTTTGAAATAAAAAATTATTCTAGTATTACCTCTCAAGTATTCCAATCTAATACTAGTGGCCCTATTTTCTAAGGGGTAAGCACTCACATTTCCCACTGACATCTGAAGGATCTGCATATGCCATGAACTTTTCAGGCCTTATATTTTCTCAGGTGGCCCTCTCTGGGTAATAAATAACCACATACAGACACACACACACACAAACAAAATGGGCACCTCAATGACATGCATAGATCGAAAAGGTGAAAACATGGACCTCAACTAACTTCTAACCTTTTGTTAAAAAAAAAAAAAGTGCATGAAAAATATCACCACAAAAATAATTAAACGAGTTCCATCTCTTATGGAAGATTAAATCACTTTTACAAAAATAAAGGTCATTGTCATCAGGTATAGTAATTAAGGGTTTGGAGGCAGCACTCACAAGAACAGTTTAGGCTAAAGCAACTTTAAGGATTGCTTGACTTCTATCAGGATGGATCCATGTCTTATAAATTGATGAACTAAATAACATTTGATTTGCAAGAACATCACCAATGTCACTGGAGACTGTACAATTACAGCCTGAATTTCAGACTGATTATAGTTATATCTACTTATTTTTCTCATGGACAAGCTTAAGGAACTGTGTTTGCAGCTTGGCAAACTGTTTTGCATTAAAATGCCACAGAGGCATTACAGTGTAATGAGCTCAGGTATCAGTGAAAACAGCAATGACAATAAAAGAGGTTGATGTTAATGCTTTCATTTGAGATCAGGCATCTCTTGAATGGCATTATAAATTCTTATATTACTTGGAATGCTCTTGGAAGTTTTAACATTTCTCTCATTTTCATTTATAGTAGCATTACTGCTTCCAGTTTCCACTGAAACTGGGACATCAGAAGTACTCTGGAGCATACACTTAAAAAAAAAAATAATGAAAATAGAAAATTTGAGGAAAAAGTAATTAAGCTCAAGCAAAATCAAAAAAGACCCAAATTCAGTAAAGCATCACTATTTGTGCTCAATAGCTTAACTTTGTTTATGTAAAAAATTGCAATTTAAGGACAAAAATTCTTGAAATTAAGCTTATGTTTAACTGTTTTGCTGAATTGGGACCTTATTTATAACAAATATATGTATTAAACATCTCTCTGCAAAGACATCAACGTGTTCTAAACTATGTGTCAGGTATCAATGAAGCTTCTAATGCAGACCAACTGCAATACAGATCACTAAAAATGATTTGCTGCTTTCAAGGTATGTTTCTAAAGAACAAAAATGAAAAAAGTGTCATTTTATTAACTATATCCTACCGTGCTACTTGGACATGAAAACAATTTTGGGCTAAATTCATAAGAAAAAGAATCCTCACACAAACAGATGAGGAAGTAAAACACGCTTTTGTTTGCCAGAGAAATGCCACACTTTTTAAAAGTGTCCCAGTACAGGAAGCCATTGCATACAGGTTTTACTTGCCAAAATGTTTCCCCAGTTCCATAGCTACTTTCTCCAGCTGAACCTGTACTGGAAGCTTTTACAGCAGGACCCTCTTCACTGCTGACAACAATAAATTTAGCCCATTAACTGTGACACTGCTCTAATTAACCTGCTAACTTAAAAGGCCTCTCAACATCCAGGCTCCATAAATATTAAAAAACAAGACCTCGAAGGCATGGATTCAGAGCAAAATCTGATTCTCTGCTACAGTCATGTAAATCCAGAAAAAATCTAGTGACTGAGTAAATTAGTCCATCATTGTATGTGAGCAGTGAGATCTGAAATGGGCTTTAACTGTGCAAACAGGGCAGGAGGAAAGACAAATGAAGAAACACAATGTAAACAGGAGTGAAGCTCTACATTGCCTGCCCATGGTACGTTCATAGGAGGGGTCCTGCACACGTGTGTGAGGTCAGGACAGGTCTCTCACCCCAGACATCCAGTGTGACTGGAAGGTTCAAGCACAGCCCCCCACACCTGCCAGTGCTCAGTAAGAACTCTGCCAAGTACAGGCTACCACCAACAGAAGCAAAGCACACTGACGTGGCCTCCACTTGCAGTGCCAACACCTGCCCTGGCTGATGGCATTCATACTGAAAAGGATTCACTGAAAGGCATTCCTGCATCCCAGCATTATGAAAAGCAGGTGCAAATTTTGGTCCTGTATAAGTTATCAATGTTTTAACTGAGTTGGCATCACTGTGATGGTTAGGTAAGCAACAGAAACATCTCAAAAAATAACAGAATGCTGCCAATTTTCAAGGCACAGAAGATTCTTAAAGCAATTCGGGCTATATACCAATTTAAAAGAAATTAAAAATACTGTTTCAGCAACAACTACTAATGACCTAGAATTAACCTCTCTGTAAAGGTGACATGGGTCAAACGTCTACAATTCTCATGAAAAAAACTAAAGCAAATCTAGTTATGCAGATGACCTGAGATCAATAGCTTGGAATGAGAGAGACAAGCATGCTACAAACATGTACACTTCAGATATATTTGTTATGGATGTGATGCCGAATCAGGATTAATTTCATCAGTATTGATTTTATACTGACATATCTCTTGAAGTAATCCATTGAGGAATCAAGCTCAGAGTTGTCTTTAAGATCCACCAAAACAAAAATGACCCCTCATTAACATATCCTACTGTATATGGATTGGTGGATTTTTTGAACCTCATCGTTTTTAATAACATACATTGCAACTATGATTTCCTTTCATATCTCCAACAGAAAAGAAGAAGAATTAAGACATAAAAATGTTATAAAATTAATTTGCTTTTTAAAACTAATATGGTCACAAAGTACATGTGAGCCCCAGAACATAAGACCAAACTCTCTAAACACTGTCATTAGAATAACCAAGGTCTGATGTCTGTGGTTCTTCATGCAGCTTTTGCAGCTCTTCACACAGTGGCTAGAAATGCTATGTTTTGGTTTCTCCCAAAATGCCTTCACTCGAGGTCCACTTGAATCCTCCTCTCTCGCAATCTGAACATCTGGTGAAAGGAAGTTGTTTTCCAGTTCTGCCAAACGTCCCCTTACATTTTTCCAGGAGGCACCACCTCTTCTCTTTGGGTGTTGTCAATGGACCTGTGGCTGAAGGGAGCCTGGTGGCTTCCCAGCCTGACCCCCCAGGGCTGCTCACGGCGTGGCCGAGGTGTGGTACTTCACAAAGGCGATCGCTGCCAGCTCTTTGCAGAACTCTTCCAGCACAATCACGCCCTCTAGTAACGTCATGTGGTCAATGCTGGGACAGAAAGAAAATTGCAGGGAGTCAGGACCGGCATGCACAAAACCAGCCACGGGTCTTGGACAACGTGCAGCGTTATTTACTCACATGGGCCCTTCGGGCTCCAAGCCCAGTAGGCGTTTTCTGACCAGCAGAAGTTTGGGAGTGAAATCTGGGATGCGCTGGATTCTTACCATGAGGTCCCCGACGACCTGTAAAGCCACGGACACACAAAGTTACCACCTGTGCAGAGCGCCTGGCAGCAAGGTTAATGACAGCTTCAGTGCCCAGGACACAGACCCGCTTCAGCCTCCTCACAGGGTCACAGAACAACATGTGCAGTAGCTGCTCTGCCCCAAAAGAGGAGCAGGAAGTAAAGAGATACAAACGCCTTACTTGCTGTTGTCACAAATAGCATTACTTGTTTTAATTATGTGGATGATTAATTTGTCTTAGTAAATGTTGACGCAGGCAATTGACCAGTAAATTTATGGGTTTAGGGAAAGCACAAGGGGAGAGAGTGAAGATTTGTATTTTGGAATGGGGAGGGCTACTGGGAAGAAGGGAGCCAAGCCCTCTGTCAGTACTGGGCAAGCAGCATTAACAAGCTGCTGACCAGCTTAATAACAGCTGGTGCGTGGGGTAAGCGAGGGATTCTGACTAGGAAGATTGCAGTGTGACAGGCACCCAGCCAGCACTTCTAGGATGCAGGTCTGGCAGGAAGAGATGGAATCAGAGAGGGGGAGAAGGGGACTTTAGATAAATCCAGGACTATATCATCAACAACAGCCTTAATCAGAAAAAAAAAGGAGCCTGAGCAGAGACACTCAGCCAGGCACTGGGCATTAAGGAGTGTTCTTGTGTGTGTATCAAAACCATCTCTCCCATCCAAGTGCAAACCTGGCCTGTTCCCATGGCACTACCTGACTTTGCCTGCAAGTGACAGAAATGTGACCTAGTCCAGTTTAAAGCACCAGCATTGCCAGAGGGGATATCTTGTATCTACACAATGAAACTAAACAACAAAAAATTCTGAAGACATGAAATGAATTTTCCGTATTTTTGGTAGAAAATCCAAAATCTTGACTCAAATCAAGACTGTAAGTATCTGCTTTCAGAGAGAAACCATTTGCCAACTTCAACTACCCAGCAACTAGTACCTCTAACTACAAAGTTATTAAAAATATTTCTGCTGTATAGCCGTATGTATTACCTGTGTGTTTACTCACCCTGACAATCACAGAGAAGAGAGACTTGCAGCCAGAGGCAAGGTTTACATAGGGATCCAAAAGGTATTCATGTATATGAGGATGGGGAAACAGGGACAGTTTGGACAACACTGACGTAACTTGTAAATTTACATCATAGGGCTGCAAAACACGGAAAACACAGTGCTCAGTTATTTTCATGCTGGCTTCTCTTCATCCAGCTTGTGTTTATTTAACTACCAGAACCTTATATACAGGGTTATGAATAAAGAAAGATAAAAAGTTAGATTAGAAGACAGGCCCAATCTCTGCTTTTCACAACAGCAGTGATGTGAATATGACAGATGAGTATTAGATATTATTATCTGTATAACTGCTACAACCACTTGAAGCTTTTGCACACTTGTTTATTGTAGGGTAAGTCCTCTTGCCATAAAACATTTCTTCAGCTAAACAAATAGCATAGAATCAGCTTAGATTAAACATCTGCTTGCTTCTGATGGGAAACTGTGAAGCATATGAGCTAAGGAAATTGGCAGAGACAAATCCATGTTTAGGGCTAATATGTTATTTTTCTTCTACTTCATTTTTTCTGGGTAAGAAGCATTGCAGAAGGCCTGGTCATCTTGTGGCAGCATGCTATGGGAGATGAGACAGTCCTGGGCTGGGAAAGCAGCATGAAATTCTGAGCTGCTTCTCTACCTCCTTTCTGCAAATCAACCAAATGGGAGATGCAACACTGTCAGATGCTGGAAGATGCTCATAAGTCATAAGGAAAAAAATAGTACCTAATTTTCTAGGAAAAAATTAGGGCCTAGTATAAAGGATTTTACCATCCCAGTAAGAAACTCATTTCCATAAAAGCAAGTATTTTCACCACAGCTTCTAAATGTTCCAAATACTTTTTTCCCATCTTTGATTTTCTCATCACAGCGAAAACAAGCTGACACTTTAATTCAGCCCCAAATTTGCAAACTAATGGAGTTTCCTTCTATCTATTCAATGGTAGAACAGACTACATTGACAAGAGATGGACAAACATTCCTTTGGTACACACACCTCTGTCAATCGACCTTGTCGATTTAAGTGGATTACAGGGCCCTCATTCCATCTCTATATCTGCATATTGGTAGTAACATCCTCACTGGCATAATCACATCTAGAATAGGGTGATTTAATGACCTCCAATTATCATCTCTATGCTCTCAAGTCAACATCCCACTGAACAATCAGAGAACAGATTCTTGCCTCTTTCAGATTTGGAAGAATTCGCCCTCAGACTAAGACAGTTAGCTATTAAGACATTAGCTATGTCTACATGTCTAAGCTTGCATTAGCCTACTCAGCAGAGATCTGACACTTGATACACTTGACAACACACAAACATCTCCTGCCATCTTAGATTCTCCAGAGTATCTGCTGGTCTCTTGATGGTTCCACAGATGGTGAATCCTGCAAGATCTCTGTTGTAACCACAAGCTTGTAGGAATATCTTGGGCAACAGATACCTCAGTTCAGGCACCTGAGAGCAGCTTTCAGTCCATACAGTTGCAGAAGCTGAGATGGTGATCCACTTTACACTAAAAGAGACCTGCTTTTCAGCATAAGAGCTACCAGGGCTGTTTTCACAAAATTTCCACTGACTAGACATGGATACCTAACAAATATTTAGGTACCTTATTCTTGAATTTGTTACCACACACTGTTGCATAGCAAAGTTGGCTTTCAGATCTTCTGAAGTGAAAGCACATATTTCTTTTGGTCAGTGACAGTTATTTTGGTACGTGATACTCCAGCAATAAATTCATCCCAATCTCCTAACAAATGAAGCTTTAAGACCCTGGACCAGAGATGTTATAGGTAGAAGAGATCACTACACTTTGAGTTATTATGGCAGAGCTACTCTGCAGAGAGAGACACAAATTCCTTCCATAAATCCATTCACTGTCTACCTAGCTGATCTGCAGAAGGTCTTTAGAGCTGTCTGAATCAGCCAATTCATTAGGAAGCTTTGAAGCAATGAGCATTATCTGATATTCACAAGAAGAGAAGGAAACAAAGTAGTAACACGTGCTGCATTGTTCAGACAGATTGCTGTTGTGATTTCAACTAATTGAGAGCATTAAGGAAAGCTGCTTCTTCACACAGAGCTTTTATTTCTGTCCATATGTCAGCAGACTAACTAAGACGGCCCTATTTCAGATAACATCCTAAAAACTTTCCCTGTAACTGAAAAGATTAAATGCAGCAAAATTTGAAGTTCAGGAAGGTTAAAAAAAAATTCTTAGCAAACAGTCAGTTCCATAGAAATTTATAGTATTATCAGGAGGAAGAAGGTAGTGTCTAGTAGATGAGGTACTTGAAACAATTTACTTCACTTGTTGTGCCTCAGCTATCTTCTGCCAGAAACTATGTTAGTGGCACCTGCCACCTCTGCAAAGTTTTCTGGTATCATAATCGCATCAGAGTGTTCCCCTGAATGCTCACAGAGCTGACCTAAAGGCTGCTACTGGCTTCCTGACATGTTCCCTGTGCATTTATAGGTTCAAATGGCTCTTGTCTGCTTATGACCAGGAAATCTGGCACTACCACAGCTAATAGTTTATTCTGTAGATAGCTCCATATGCAAAACAGGAAAGAATTGTACAAGCTTCTGAAACTGGTACAACCACATTTGTAGCCACTCCAGCTGGTATTACAGGGAAGGTAATCAAGATTTTCAGGGCTCATTTTCACTGGAAAGAAAAATTATCTTCTTGATCTAAAGCAGTAATATTGACTTGAGGAACATAAGCCTAGAGTTTAGAGAAGGCAAAGAAACACTAAGTTTCCACAAAGGGAAACTCCTTCTCACCTCCCTGACCCCTCACCTTCTCCCCAGAAAGTCGAGGTTCTGCGAACTGGCTGAACACAGAAACAAACGGGCATCAGAAAAAGTCACTTTCTTTTAATTCTTTTGTACTAATCTGGATATGACATGTCACACCACCTTTTCAGAACAAGGAGCCTGTCAGGTTTTACCTCATTTGTTTGCCTTTAGCACATATATTTTTATTATTTGAAGATAATCAAACAGGAAAAAATGTACTTCACATTACAGGTAGAAAAGAATACCGTATAGAAACTTTCACTGGAAAGTTTTTTAAAAACTGAAACAATGGGGAAAGTATTAACAGTGATGCAGTAAGTTCTTTTCACCTTACACAGTGACATAAACTGCTTCCTGAACAAGACTTCAGATTGAAGCTCACTGAAATGTGGCAGAAAGATGATGTACCATATTTTATTTACTGGAATATGTACATGCTTTTTAAGTGTAAATGCTGTAAAATGAAAACAGATCCATTTTACAACAAACACTGTAAAATGAAAACAGAACAGAAAAATGCTAAGACTGAAGGATTCCTAACATACTATCTTAGGAATTCTTAAGATACTATCTTATCTTCATCTTTTATCTTAAGGATATACTTTCCTTACTCAATTTAAATGATATTTCTGGTCAATAAAACATTCGGTACACAAAAAGGTGGCTAACAAAGATAAGAGAGTTTTTGTTCTTACTTTTGTGAAACTGATAATACTGATCACTGCAACATCCTGCAATCTACAGGGACCTGCACCAAGGACATGGGACATTACACAATAATACGAAACTATAATAGAAAACTGACTGATGGGAATCCATGGGACCTTATCAGCCCTTGAGCAGTGATGAAAGTATCAGAAATGGAATTCCTAACCTGTTTTTTCTTACCTGATCAAGAATCCTTCCCATTCTTTCAAACAGGACTTTCAAGAAGTGTCCTTCAAAGAATGACGCTTCTAAATTGCACTTTTCCAAAGATCTGGGAGATCCAGGCCACTCCCACCGTAAGCAAATGACACAATAATCCCGGAACTAGAAAAAAGTAGTTAGGAAAACAGACTTAAATCTCCATGGAAACAATTTAATTTCTTTTGAATAGTACATACACCTTAAAATTATAATCTGTAGCTAAATGAAAACTCTAAGCTCAAAAAGAACAGTCCTTGTAAAGTAAACACTATCAGCAGGCACCTCATTTTCTTCTTGACATTCCTGCTACTAGGGTAGTTTGAGAAACAACCAGTGGAGAACAGAGCTCCCAAAAAGCAGCTGGGGCCAAAGCACAAAGCAAAGCCAACAATACACATCCTGATCAGGGTTCTTCTAAAGTAGGAATTGCATTCTTACACATTCTTCCTGTCAATACATTACCACATTTCCACTATAGGATGTGTAGCTTGTTTTGCTATTCAAACTGTGTTGCTCTCTAATTCCCAGGACAGGAAAGGCCTGTGTATATGCAAATATATATATATATTCACACAAATGAAAAGAATTCCAGGGTTTCCTCTTGCCTCTTTTTGTTTCCTATCACTCCTAACAGTCTTTCTCAACCTCTGTCCCTCATTTGCTCTGGGCTGCCTGACGTCTCACTTCCAAGGAGTTGTACCTTGAAAGGAGCACAACTTATTGCAGAAAAAATAAGGAACACAGGAATAAACAGAAGCAAAAGAGAGAGAAAACAGACTCAGAAATTCTGCACTGCACGTAGCTTACCTACCTGTGCAGCCTTCCAGGAATAGAAATATGGAAGCAGAACAGCTATTTGGATGTAATAACAGCAATAGGCAGGGCTATTCTTAGGGGGGATATATTTTAACAGTAGCCATATCATTGTCAGGAAGTGACAGAAACCAATTCTGCTCTCTAATAACTCCCAGAATACTCTTTTTCCCAAGGCATGAAAGAAAGACAAAGATGATAAGTGGTTTCTGGCATCCAAGAATAGAAGATAGGGGAATTTTACATCAACCCTTGTTTTCTTATTCTCTATTTTCTATTCCCTTTCTTTTCAGGAGAGACTACTTCAGGAGATAAAGCAATATAATAAATAGAGAAATCCAAGCTTCCCATCTTAAACTGCTGATAACATAATTCCAAGGTTATGGAATCTTTGAATTACCTATCAAATATAGCTCTCAATTACTGTGCTCCTTTGCATAAATTTTTCTACTTTAGAAGATTCACAGGACTTCAATGTGAAAGCTGCAAACAGGCATTGTCCTCTGACCAAGGAAACTTTATATTTGTAAAAACAAAACTTGCATTTATTTCAAAGCAGTATATCATAAAGCTTTCCCTAGCTCCCCAACCTCCCAACTTCCAACCTGAATGCCTTAGGCTGCGCATTTCCCGTGATGAGCTTTTATTTTCAAAGTCCCAGATTGCATAACTCCTATGCAGCATTTTAATTTCTCTTTAGTTCTTTCAAACAGCTTGGCAGGCAATTCTCCAAGAGAATGCAGATAAATGCAGAAGCAAATTAAGAATCCATCCAAGGTTCAGATTTTCTCTCGCTGTATTTGTTATATGAATATTAATGCATTTAATGTCATCCCTTATTCCCCCTAGAGCTATACAAGGTGAATTCATCATCAAAAGATCTCCAAAGGTAAGATTTCATTAGAAAATGAAAATTGAATTTTCCCATCTTTCATTACCAAAAGATGCATTTATTAGGACTATTTAGAGAACCATTTGTATATTCTCATAAGCGTTTCAAATTTCAAGGACCAAGGAAGACTTCACTGACTTACTTGTCTGTGGGCATCTCTGAGGTAAGTATCATAACCTGTACCCTCCACATGGTATGACGACTTTGCTTCATCAGGTACAAGACAGAGAAAACTAAAGAGAAAAAAAGTACATTAATGAGTATCTATATTCCACAGAGCATTGATCAATACTTTTTCATCATCTGTACCAGTGTACACAATGCTGAATTGTCTGGCCAATTAATCCACAGACTCTACCATAACTCTATGTTAGGAACAGAGACTACAAAATCTATTTAAGCATGTCTATTCCAACTACTGTTTGTAATAACAAGACATATACTTCAGAACTTTTGTATCTAACACTGGAGGTAAAATCCTCAGCGGAAACATTTTCTCAGAATCCGCAGATAGAATGGAGATGAAAAGGAATATTCATAACCAGTCAAGTACTTGCTAAAGGCCAGACTCCATCTTACTAGAAGTAAAAAAAATATACTTGGGAATAAACAAGCCAAAAGAGAACGAGAATTACAGGTAAAATTTTTCTAAACCTACTTCATAGGTAGCTTTATTTACCATAGTTTGCTGTGGTAAAAAATTAACATCTAAGACATACAGGAGTATTTGCATATAAATGCCCCAGTTACAAATATAACTGAATTGCCTTTACCAGATATGTAGTGTAAATACTGTATGTCCTTATTACTTCACCAATATCTGACCTAAAATGCATCATTAAATTTTGAATCATATTAGTAAATGTCTTGAAAAAAAGAATAAAAATTAGAACCACTGAAATTTCTGGAAAACAAAAAACCCTCAGTCTTTAGACCCTGATTCCAAATTTCAGCTTTCTCCACACCCCAAGAACTCCTAGATGCTCCTGGAAGATTTTTATGCAGAAATATGTAGTAGCTGACTTTTCATGTGGAGTTCATCTTATCCAAAAAAATATAAATTTGCAAAACACTGCAAATCCTGAAAAAAATTGTATTCACTGATGGAGATTACACGAGATGAATTTAGGAGAATATTCTTTGTGTCTTTGCTCCAAACCATGTCCACCATAAACTATATATAGCAGTACTGGGGGAAAGAGGGCAAGAAGTGACAATGTCTTTGTGTCCTGACTGTCCCCAGGCTGTTTGTTTCCTTTGGCCAACACCTCTGATTATTTCTGGGTAAGCAGACAGGTCAGCTGTGATACACCAGTGCTGCCTTGCTACCATGTATTAACAGAGCAAACAGCCTTTGTCCTAATATTAGTTCCTAAGAGAATTACCATCCCTAAGTTGCTTAGAGCAGAGCTTGCCCTCCTTGTGATATCCAATTTGCAGTATGACTGATAGGCACTGAGGTAGGTTACAGGTGACAGAGGTGCCCCCTAATTTTCAGGGAACAGAAGGTTATCTCCAGCATGGCAATTATTTACTTTTATGTATGTGCTTAAGGAACTTCAGGAAGTTTTGAGTTTTGGTTTTTTCCCTAAAATGTTTATGGCAAGACTCCCCATGCTTGTCCAGGAAGGTGAAGTCCTGGAACAGCAATTATTTCTGCGAAAAGCAAGTTTTATAATCAACGAGGCTTTCACAGTGAATTCCAGCTATTCAACTAGACCATTAGCTGCAGAGTTCTTCGATTTTTCTCATTTATGTTGAATTATTTTTACTTATGCAAGCTCTAATCTTTCAGAAGTAGTTTTCTGATAAAATGCCACATAATTTCCTTCTGCAGAGTCATTTTCCCAGCTGGCACAGAATAACATCCATTACAGAGTACATTTAATTTGCACAGTGTGTGCAGACACCCACACATTCAGACATTTCTTTAAGTGTTTGTTTCAACTTACCTATTTACAATTTTATGAACTTCAGTCTTCCCATCATTTTTTGGATGTTCTGGACTGACAGGTGGAGAAGCACTGAGCCACTCCTGTGCTGACAATGTGTTATCTGGAGACAGATCAGTAAATAATGGATCTTCCTCCAGGTCTCTGTCAGATTATATCAGACAAAAACATAATTATTGACAGAACATTATGGAAGGCAGGAATATCTCTGTGTCACAAGGCATGCTCTGTGTTTTTCTTCTCTGAACAACTAGGATGTTTTCCAGAACACTACCATATCCATCTTATTACCTAGTTAATACACAGAAACACCAACCTGTATAATACCCAACATTCTAAACAACAGAGGAGACATTTTTGACTCATACAAAATCACTGCATTAAGTCACTTAAACTCTGTAGCCACAGTTTTCACATGAGAAAGAGTTATACTCAGGAAATATTTCAATTATTTTAGATGACTAAAATAGCTGGTGTGGCAAGTCCTTACCCTTCCATTGGTAAAAAAATTAGTTAGAAGAGTTACATAGGATATTTTAAAGGATTTTATGTAGGGTCCTAGAAAAGTTGTTCCATCAAGAAATGATTCAAGAACATAAATATAAACAAGGCACCTAAGTGGCTGACTTCAAGAATAATCTCACTGATTATAGACTTAACCTGGGCAGATGCATAAGTAAATTGATATACAAAGACCTTTGAGTGCCTATTGCTCTGCACAAAGGCTTGTTGTAATTTTAGTTTTTCTACTCCTGTTCTAAGAATTTACATAAGTTGCTGATGTAATAATTTCTGCATCACTTTACAGATATGGAATAATACACAAGAGCACTCAAGTGCTATCCAGGCTCACTTTTCTTTCAATTACTGAAAAAAACCCCGTTTTGTTCTAAAAATAAGGATCCAAGTTAGCTGTTGTGAAAACTTCCCTTAACAATGAAACTTACACTGCTCCAGCAATCTGTCCATTCTCTACCACATCTTTATCTTCTTGACAGAGGGGCTTGTATTCCATATAGTTTCTTTCTTCCAAATTTCTCAGAACCAAATTATAAAGAATGTGCTCATTGGGTTTTTGCAATAGGTGCTCAAACATTCGTAAAGTCATTATGCTGATCTGCAACGTAAAAAGTTGACTTCAATAAAACTGATGCACTGCTGCCCTATGGTTTTGGTCTTATATCTGGTTTGTAAATCCTAGAACACTGCAATTACTTATTGACATTTGAGAAGGAAGCAAAAATCATATGAAAAATTAGGCAATTGTGACGCTGAATGTGGTATAAACATGGATGAAGAGTTCACACACATCTGAAAATCAATATGGGAATGTATTTTTTTTCTGTAAAACAAAAACTGTTCTGAAATCTGTCAAAATAACATATACATAATACAAAGAACATACAGAGAACTCACAATTTAGCTTTCCATATTACAATCAGATCCATGCTCGAAGATGGTTATCATTGTGCAAATGAGACACAGAACAGGACTTAAAAGTTAGTAACAAATACCCAGAATAAAAAAAAGTAATACTGGGATATTGTGACTAGAACTATAGGCTATGATTTTTACATGGAGATGTAGGCTTTTAAAAGGAGACTGACTTTAAGCAATACAGAGATAATTTTAAAAGACAGCTTTAGAGTGCTTAGCTTTGCCAAGATCAACTAATTTATACAGATAACTCATTCTGACAGGGTGAGCAGGTAGGCATATTGAAAAATTGATATGGGAAGGCATAGGTCTGTATTTCAGGCAAGCTTGGTTTTTATTTGAAAAAACAGAGTGGAGGTTGTTTCACGGAGAAAATGAAACAAGCAGCTCCTGAGGAGGGATTTTACTGAAGTAAATTATTTTAACAATGTTTATAGCGTGTAAAGAGTTTGAAGTTATTATATCATTTAATTGGTATTGTGTACATTCTCTGATCGCACTTCATCTAAACCCCAAATCTATATCTTATATGATAACAACACAGAATTGACACACCATGGAAAATAACAGTGACACAACATTTAACAAAGCACAAATTAAAATGCAATTACAGATGCTGAGTTTGCCCTGTCTTACAGGTGAGCAAATCTAACTAGATATGCATAGTGGGTAAGCAAATTTAGAAAAGAATCTTTAGTAAAGGTTACAATATGCTAGGTGGAGAAAACAGCTTGACTTTCATTTTCTAAAGGGAATTTGTGAGGCCGGCAGTCAGAACTCTTTTTCTTGGCAAAAAAAGTTAGTTGACACCAATATGAAAAGTCCTCACAATGGTGTCTTTGCAGACTCTCCACAAGCCAGGACTGGCCAGCAGACATTACTGTGTATCACTTCTCACCTCGTCAGAAATATGATCACAGTGCTCGATTAACCTGTGTCTCAATGGATGCCTGTTGATGTCTGCCAAGGTTTCCGGGTCTCTGTGTTCTCCAAGTATAAAATACACAAGTTCCTGCAGCAGGACATCTGAAGTGACCTGACGAACAATGCGGTGCAATAGTGCAGTTGATGTGAGGATTCCGATCTCTGAACTGAACAAAGTATTTCATATCAGACATGTAATGGATTTCAGCTGAAAAAAATCAGCTTGATTCAGATTCTGTTCTGTGTCTTGTAGGATGCTACTCACGTTTGCATCAGCTGAGGTTCCATAACATCAATGAAAAATCGTTCCCGCACAGCTTTTGCCATAGCAACAGCAGTCATCTGAAACAGAAGTACAAAATGGTGTGTCTCAAACTCAAAAGCTAAGAAACAACTGGAACTACTTATTTGCTGAATATATTTGTATCATTTGAACATAGTTCAAACCTTTTGTGCTTCTTTGATGAGCTGATCACAGTAGTCAAACCAAGAAAGAAACGAAATCAACGCTCTTTTCCCTGGAAAAGCAGATGCATCTTCTTTGTGGCTATAGGAATCCAAACTAGAGAACACAGAGAAAAATATTTATTTAGTCTACAAGTAAGTGAAGAATCTTGGACTTCATTCTTATTGAACCTAACAGAATAATCAATGACCTACTTGTAGCGAAGGGAACATTAGAAAGGCTTTTCTGCCAATCTATACTAATCTGGCAGTGCCATCATTACACAGGTGTTCAGAGACATGCTGAAGGATGCACAGTATGTACAGCAGAAGAACTCTGGTTAAGTATTTCTGCAGTCAGAAGGGAAAACTGATCACCAAGTCTGGTCTCCCAGGAAACAGAGACCACAGAAACTGAATCAATTACTCTTGTAGTCACAGAACCATAAAATGAAGGCAATTGTCCTTCTCTACTCAGTAAGCAACCTCAGTAAGCAAACTCAAGTCCAGCAAAACCACGCAGTGTATACCTGAAACTAGATTGTATCTTTCACAAAAAAGCATGTTATTTCAATTTAAGGGCTCTAAGAATAACATATACACCATTTTCTTTGGTAAAGCACTCCAACAGTTATTTATCCCACAATTCAAAGTTGTAGTTTTTCCCCTTCTAATTTCAAACTCCAACCACCATAAATTTTGGTGGTTTTGGACATTTTGGACATTTTGGACATTTTGGACATTTTGCAAATACCTACTATTTGTCTCAGTACTAACAGGTCATGAGTAATTCATAGTAAGGTGAATGGGGAAGAGAAATCTTTTGGGAATCTAACATGCAAGCAGTTAGGATGACAGGCATGTATCTTCTGCTTCATGCTGATGAATCAAGCAATATCTCTTTCCTTCTTCTTTTTCACTGCAAAAATTTTGCAACAGCAGGCTGTTATCAAACGCACCCTTCCTGCCCCCCACAGCAGCTGACAGTGCCCGCTGTGTACAGTGAAAAGTTTGTGTTTCCTAAATCCTGGACATCTGCACAAGAACATAATCCATACCTGATACTCCAATGGCACCACTACAAACTGCTAACATAAGTCAGTGGAAAAATTTGCCCCCTGAGGAATGTCTGCAGAGGATCGGCAGGCAAACCTGGCCCCATGTCAGAAATCATGTGTACACTGGACAACCAAGTGTACTACTCTGCTGTAGCTGTGGGTCAGCTCTGAGGCTTTAGCATGGGGGGGTGAATATTTTATATACCTTATCTACCTATAAAATTAGTTTCAGGGAGGGATGTAAAGTCACTTTGGGTATTAAATACAAAAATAAAATTCTTACCCCCAGTTAATTGCCTCCACTGTTTCAATGTCTAAGGGATCCAGTGACTGAGGCAAGGCTTTGTAGAGGGTGGCCAGCCTGTCTGTCAACAATTCACATAAACAAGTGCTTTGGGTCAGGCACTTGGCAGCTGCTGGTTCTGGCAAACTCACCAAAAGCATGAGGCCTTCACAGGCCTTCACTGCTATCCGGCCGTCCTGGCAGAAGGGCATGGAAGAATTAATCAGAGGGTGAATGAAGCTCACTTGAAATCAAGAAGCAAACATCTCCCAAATAAAACCTCTCCATTTTCCCACAGTGAGTGAATGCATTTATTTTGGTTGACTTCTCAGTCATTAATGAATTAGGATGTAAAGAATCTCACCTGTCAAATACTAAGAGTGCAACTGCAACCTTCAGGCTGACAGAACTAGTGCTGTAGGTCACCCTGAGATCAAGATATTATATCCTGTAAACTAATCATGTAACAATGACGAAGTGCAGTGGTAGAGTCAGTTTTCTGCTCCCAACACTGCTGTTCCAATTACAGGCTTACCCAACCCTCTACATTTTCTGAAAGTGTCTGCATTTGAGGATGGAGCTAGGTAAGACATACAGCAGGTTTTTCTAAAGAACACAGACTTCTAGAGATAGCCCAGTGCCCTCACAAAAAGAATGTGTTTGGTTAAGTCAGAACAATTAAAAGCAGGTTTAAAAATATTCTCTCGTGATATATTTAACCTTCTGATTATCCTATGTAGTTTGTCTGTGAAACATACAGCATCCTATATATATTTCTTTAAACACCCCACTTACATTACCAGCAACAAACTTAGTATTAATTTTCTAAAATAATATTTTTAATCTGAATTGACAAAAAAAATTGTCAATTTACAAAAGCTGCCTGCAAAACAACCCTCATTTTAGCTTTTATAGCTAAAATACAGTGTGTATATTTGTGTATATTCACTCCCTCTCTCCATTTCACACAGCATCCAACTATTTCATTTTATTACATTAAACAGAAAAAAACCCCCAAACCAAAAAACAACTCACGGGACTTTTAGTGAGGTTTAGTAGAGAATTCACTAAATTATAGTCTTGATTTGGACAAACAGTGGAGGACTCGGGTGATGACGTGACATTTAGTTCATCCAGACTGAAGGAGAGATCATCCGTCGGTTGTGGGAGCTCATCTTCCCTCTCCATGTGCTCCACTCCGGCTGCACTGGGCATTTCTTCAGCTTGTCCTGTGTCTGTTGTCACAGAGTCTTGGTCTTTTATCATGTCTTCTGTGATTACACTTGCTGATTCTTTCGAAGCCATTGCTTTTAACTTATTCTGCAAAGCATTTTTTGGAATTACACAGTTGAAATCACTGTTCATCCCGAAGCAGAAATTTACTAAAAGCAATTTTTTTTACATCAGCATTTGAAGTAGTCAAGGCTGGATACAGTAACCACATAGAAGGTTTAAACCTAGGCCATTTTTAAATCTGCTTAAAGTTCTCTTAAGCCCTGCACCATTTTGCTTCAAGGCTGAATATGTCATTTACAAAGAGATGGCAACTTTTTTCATTCACTACTGAAGGCACATATTCACTTGACTGCCCACAATTTGATAGAAGTTTTTCATTTACCCTATTGGTGCACCTTTAGCCCTTAGCACATACCATAAAACACCCTTTCTAGGCCAAGGCATCAAATTCATCCAACATCTGAAACACTGTTTCCAGTTGGAGTCACACAAGTAAAATAATTCTAAGTTTCTTGAGATTTTATCTTCCACAGGAAAGAGGAAAAACCGCCTTTTATGACAGCAGGGTACTCTCAAATTGTGTTTTCTCATGAAGAAAAAAGCTGAGTAGATTGAAGGGACAGAAGATACTAGAAGTTAGCATTGGGCACTGGATACTGTAACAGGTGACAGAGAACCTTCTCGCAAGCTCCACAGCATCTCTACTTAGCCTGAAAAAAAGCAACTCATCTGTCTTCCCATAAATCTGTCTCCAGCACATAAAAAGATATTTAAATTTGTGCTTTGTGATATCAAGAAGAAACTCAGAGCAAGGCAAAAAATCAGTGATCTTCTGGCATATGTGCAGGTGAATAATACTTTATTGGAATCATAAATTAGACTGCAGCACAAGGCATTTTTTTCCAAGCAAGTACAATAGTGAAGTTATTAATCCAAATGCTTCCCTTCTCTATGATAACACCAAAATTATTACAAATATATCTCAAGCATTAATTATTTAAAAGACTAACCATTTGGGGTTAATGCATTTAGTACATACAAGCCAGCAGGGACTGACTACATGACAGTCTCAGGCAGCAAACCAGAACTGCTGTGAACGTTTGCTTGATCGCTGTGCATTCATTGTGGGGAATTTGCAGCGAGCATTGTGATACACTCATAGAACCAATTCCCTGGAGAGGCAAACAGTGGTAAAAGCAGCAAACTGCATGCTATAAAATAAGTACAATTTTTTACTACAGTAGAAAAATCAGTCCTTCAACATATGTATATTTTTTTTCGACACTGTAAAAGCATAAGGTGGCAAAGCAGCAAAAATGTGTCTGTCTGAACCTTGTTTATCTATCCCTAAAGTTGCTGGAGTCCTCCAGTATCATCTCATCTATTTTATCAACACACAGAAGTATCTGATCACAACAATGACCCTTGCACATAAAGCAGAACTAAAGGCTGGAACAGCCTTTCATTCCTGGATTACACACTGTTGCTGTTACACACTGTTACCACTCAGGTAGCAGGCAGTGCTGTCAAAGGGAAAAGCTACTTTTCTCAAAAACTGGGTAATATTTTGTAAAATATTACAAATATTTGATCTTATTACTTCATGTCTGGACTCTTCTACCATTTGAAAAGCCATTGTTTATTTAGCTGAGGCATTGATGAGAAGACCTAACATATATAAATGTATGAATGCCCCTAGAAATGTGTCCATAGCTCGTTCTTCTTATATTAGCAGGCAACACAAAGCAGTTTGTACATTGAACAACACACAGACAGAATTTTTGTGTGTATTTAAGCTTCCTATTGTCTAATCATGCAATTCTGCAGCTCAGCTGCTCACCTGCCTCCTGCAAAGGTGCAAAACAGGATCCTGAATGACCTAATAGAAAAGGTTACATAAAACACATATTCAATGCTTTCTATACGAAGTACTCATGAATTCAGCATCAACAGAGAGTTGACAATATAAAAATATACTTTTATATTTTCGTGATATGTAACCATCAGAGTTTCAAAATCTGTGGTGGATGATGCCATGTCTAAGTTCAGATAGATTTTAAAATAATTCTGTGAAAAAATCGACTGATACCACAGCTGATGAGAATCTCTACTTGATTTGTGGTGAGAAATGTAAAGCTGATAATTTGTAGTATTGAAAATAGAAGTGAATAGTGAAACTATTGTTCGTTTTTTAAAACGAAGGTACAACTTTCCAGCAGACACTATATTAGAACTTTTTTAAGGTCTCAAGAGCAGAAGCTGAAACACAGAGAATCAAGTGTCCCTTTGTATGGAACAATCAGTTACAAGGAGTATTTCACCTCAGATGGGATGAGATGGGGCAAGTTTAGCATAAAATATGACCGAGGTAGAGCTAATAAGCCAAACATTACAATGTATATTCTTTACCTCTACAGAAGAGCTACGAAAACTCGGTCTAAAGAAAAGAGCCCAATAATACCAAAATAAAATTAGTATAGGGTTTTTAAAGCTTTAAGTAAGCAGAATGAAGTTCTTCCAGTTCTTATTTCCACAAGAGATATAACTTGCCCAAGAGACAGTTATGCCATGTAGCTTTACTGGTTAAGCAATACAGGTGAAAGATTTTACTAAAAAATAACCAGCATTCTATCAACACTCTATTTGATATGGAATCATACAAAGGAAATCCTGAGTTTGTACATACTCAGTTCTTTTATGCCCATAAAATCCTGAAGAAACTGGTCAAGAACAGTCAAAGAAGGAAGCAAAACTAACAGATAAGCACAGGATGATTTGGTGAGATCCATCTGCATTTCAGTTTATAAGTGTTGGAGATTTGAGAAAGAAATGCCACAAAAAATTGTGTAAATTTACCCTTTTGTGCACTTGAAGGTCAGAAACAGTGACCAAGTCACAACAACAGCACCTCTAAGAGGCCTAGATGTGAACAACAAGAATATTCTTTCCTATTAAAGGACAATTCTGCACCACATGTACCTTATGGGGAAACAACCACCCCAAGTTGTGAAGACAAATGCCTTAGGCTACAACATTTACAATAATGCTGTGAAGGAAACAGGAGCTACAAGAAATGTTCATCAGCTTGCCTGAACTCCACAGCCAGCATTGTTTGCAATTACAGATCCCTTTTAAATTTGGAATCATCTGGATTTCCATGTCTTTTTTAATATTGGAATCCTGCTATTTTGAGGAAGAACACTAACAGTGTCTCAAGAAATTCTGAATAAATTTACTCACCTCAAGGAAGAAGTTGACCAGGTATGGATCTTGTTTCAGCTTTGCACATACTATACAGAGAAACTGAATTTCTTCATTTTCTGTTGGTGTTGCCAGAACTTCACCACACAACCGGATTAATTTCTGTCACATAAAGCAAACAATGAAGACAGAGAGTAAGCTATACATTTTCCTAGGAATAGTGGACTGAATTATTCTTCTATACACGTACTACAGTTATGTATGATTATTGGCTTGAACATTTGCTCTAGATTTAGATTGCCATAAACAAGTTTTCTTTATTATTTATGACTTACATTGCAGTGGCAGTTCATGGCTCTAATCATCAATACATTAAAAGCAATACTGCACTCGAGCAGTTTCTTTAATGCACTTGACAATGGAAGAATTAAAGATACCACTAGGTACAGCAGAATAAAAGAAACTTGTCATGCAAAAATATATTTTACTTCAGATCTGAACAGTACCTGCACTGGTCTGTGCACATTTATGTGGGGGAGAAGAGGTTGCCGTATTCTTCCAAGAAGCTTTGTGTAAAAAGCCAGAACTTGCTGTTTCATTCCTGGAGGACACTGAAAGAAAACCAGATGAACAATAACAAAAATATAACAAATGTGGAGAAAAACAGAGATGCAAATTTTTCACTCAGAATGGCTAATTAAACAGCAATAATATATCCAAAAGTATTTTAAAAATCATCATCTGTTAACGCATTACTTTATTGATAATAAGAGAGATCAACAAAAAATGTTGCATCTCATTGTTTTTTTCCTTTTCAAATTATTCATACTTTCAGTTAATTGCTCTAGGGCAGACTTCTACCAATCTTTCCAGAAAACATTCCAGATCATTACAGTAATAAGGGGAAATTAACTTGGAATTATTTTGCTACAGGTCAGCTCTCTTTTAGGGTACTGTACCACAAAATCCAGCCACTCACTGAGTCAGTACATACAAATAAAGAATTATAAACTATAAACATTTTAATATCTACAAAAGGTTTTTTAGAATCACAAGCAATTAACCTTAGACAGACAAAGCATTTATAAATGCACAGATGTTCCAGGACAAGAGAAAGCTGTTGTTTTTCCTGAGCAGAATATAAATCACAAGCAAATAAAATAAATCACAAATATCTGTGGAACAGATATCGTTCTACTGTCCCCCATGCACCTCATCACATGAAAGTACTTTCCTACCTCCATGAGATCTGACGGCTTGTGGTCCTTTATGTACCTTTGTTTCTTGCTAAATCCCCCAAAACTCATGTGTTCTACCACGTTAATATATGCTGTTACTCCATAAGTTAATTTTAACCCACATAATTTCCCTCCTCTGGTTCACTGCACAGCTGAATGGAGCAGGGGTAGCAACAGCCAGGAATGACAACTGCCCAACCTGACTCTCCTCTCAAAGTAACTACTCCTAGATTTTTAATCCATGTTGAATAGAATGGCAAAATATCTACCATCAGGACACATCTACAGTAATGTAGTAAGTCTGTCTGACTGTTGTGAAAGGAAATTATTCTTTTTGCACTAGATCTTTGTAACACCTTGCAAGCACTGAACTGTGTGTTTACTTCAGATATATCAACTCACTAGTGGCAAAGTGTAAAGACAGGCTTTACAAGAATTGCTTGTACAGGAGTATTTGCATGAGTACAAAATGACTTCTCTCAACTCTTAGAAATACACCACTAATTACCCACTTCACATATGTCACCAGTTCATCTTGGTTTCTTGACAAAGTTTATAGTTTACTGAATGAGCTGTATTTCTGAGCAAGTATTTTCAATACAGCAGGTATCTTAGCCTGACTGTAGGACAGGTGGTATAGTAACAGGAATTGCAGATCTCTGGCCCTTTCAGAACACGGAACATTCCAGGCTCAGACTGCTCATATCCTACATTGTCTATTTATAAAAAAATCAAGTGGATTAAAAACTCATGACAATGTGTAAAAGACTGAGAATGAAACCCTGGAGAGCTCCATTTGTCCTTGGTATAAGACACATCACGCTTCCCTAACTGCATCCGCATCGTGATACAGAAAGTTCTAGCACAAGGACTGCCAAGCTAATTCACCCCATGACCCATCCAACCCCACACACTTTACCTCAGAAGTCTGTCAAGAAAGACAGAAACAAGAATGCACCAAGACCATGAAGGGAACTTCATGTGTGCCACACGTGTGCCAGGGACTACCTTCATACCAAAGACTCAGATGTGAAAACTGTCTGGAGATCAAACTAATGCTTTCTGACATGGAAGTCTTTCTGAGCAATAACGCACCACACTCAGAAAAATTTATCAAAAATTTGTATCTAATACTGCACTTTTCACCCAAGAATCTCCCAACAAAGGACAGAGAGGGATAATATTGTCTTGTAGAAGCCAGAAAAACTCTAGACTGAACAAAAATGTTTCTCTTAGTTTCACAGTCCATATTATCAGAGTGGCGAGTAACAAATCTCAGGGTTCTGTCTTAGCATCTCTCTGGTTTTCTCACTTTGATCACACTCATAAAAGACTGTTATTTGTATTATGTTGGAAGCATAAGCAAACAGCTTTTTGCTGGAGTTCAGTGTCCCACACTACCACCCACTGTAGAACTTTTCTATTATTAATAGTTCCTATTACAATTAGGAGCTCACACAAAAGATAATCTGCTCTGCTGAGAAGTACATACGTCAGCTTTTCCTAGTGTGTAGAGAGTCTCCAAAATCTTGTGATGTAGCAAATATTCCATACATGGTCCTGTTTCGCCTGATTCCCTCTCATTTTCTTCTTGAACTAGAATATCCAACATCTGTTCCAGGTGAGAAGGAATGTTGGTATCAGTCACAGGAGCTTTGTCATCTGAACAGAAGAGATGGGCAATTAAGAATTATTAAAATATTGTCCTCACTTTTCTTAAGTTCAGTTCCAAATTTAAGATTTAAAAACATGACCACTCATTTCAAGAATCTTATATACAGTAAGTTTTTCCATGTCCTAAATCAGATTTTCAGAACCATATCTGGAAATGTAAACTGGATTATGCATTGGGCAGATATTTAACCTTGCAATGGGGAGAAGGGGAAATGCCAAAATTCAAAACATGGTCAAAAAGGAAAAATTCTACAGCCAGAAACCAAGTTTTGGGAGGGAAAGGTTCAGCTCTCAATCTGCTGGTTAGTATCCACTCTGTCTTGATAACTTCCTCTTTAACTCTCCATGTAGTGTTCTCAAAGCTCTAAATGGCCTTTAACATCAGCTTAATCTGCACCTGATCAGTTCTTTTACAAATTTAAAAACTAAATTTTTTTTTCTAATGATAACAACAAAGAAAACCCAAACTCCATGCTGTTTACTCTTCACAAGTGTTTAAATTTCTCTTTTATGCTTTCTGCATTGAGATAGAATTATGTCAAACTTTATGAAGGAAAGGGTACGACTGATTTCATTATACTAAAATCATGAAACTGTAGTGGATTTATGCCACTGGCAGTGGGAGTTGGTATTAACATGTTGTAGAGCATATCCACAACATGAAGATTTTCCTCTTTTATTTTTTTCAGCAAAATTCTACTTGAACAGCTATCCCACTAGCTAGGGAAATGGTTACTACTTCTTATGCAATAACCTAAAAATAACTGTCACTTGCATGCACATGGCAATGAGACCACACAGGAAAACTGCCATGTCAGAGTGATTTTGGTCTCTGCCACAACCTCCAGTAGCCTGGAGTGTTTTGCTTGAATTTCCTAGGCATAATTCTGCTCCTACTGCAGAGGACAGAAATATATTCACTCAGTGGAAACTTGTTTTTCAAATGACTTGTGAAAGTCTGGGAGAGAGGTCAGCTTTTATTCTGCACCACGTCATTGCAGGTATCACTTTTCCCCCACCACCCTGTCCTTTCCACCTTAGGAAACATCACATAGTGTTCCAAAAGACGGGTATTTAGAACCAAGGGTCAAGTTGTAGCTTGTAGGAGTAAATGTTGATATAAACAAGATCATCAGTCCAGACACAAACACAGATTCAACAGCTCTTCCAGCAGAAATGCACAATTAATACACTTGAGGAAAGCATGGTAACATTCATTTTTAAAACACAGTAGTTTAATAACAAAATAAAAAATTTACAAGTTGCATAATTTGCAAAAAAAAAAAAAGAAAACCCATGAAAAAGTTTAAGAAAAAGCAATTACAGCCATATTTCATCAGAATATGCATTTTTTAGAAGAGCAAAATAACACCTGGATAAGGTTTAACAAAACGTGTTCTAATCTGCTCACAAATTCACTTTTCAGAGCTATTTTATCAAAATACCTTTCACTGACACAGGACACTAAAGCAAAAAAAACTGATACGGAGCACATGGAATTCATATATGTCCGATAAAATCTACGACCACAAAATTACTTCTATTAAAATCTTGGTAAGAAAAAAAATCCCTGATGCAAACCAATAAAATGTAAACAGCAGGGACTAAATTTCTGTAGTTGTCTGTTTAGATTAAACAAAATATGCAAAGACAGAAATTGGGTCAGACATGAAAAGGTACAGTTCTCTACGTGGTACTTAGGAACTCTCCTTCAATCCTTTTTCATGCCTGCTTTTTAAGGGGTGGAGGTACACAATACTTTTGATTACTAACTATTATTGTTGGCATTTTGATAAAAGACATGACTAATTTTAGTATTTCTTAATCTTTTCTTTTTAAAAACACTGAAATTGATAATTTTAGTTTTCACAAAAGAGACAAACCCAAAGTGCTTTTTTCTTTTACCTGAGGTCTCTATGTAGTAATGGGTGATGGCTTTCCAGTGGTAAACAAAATCTTCTTGTAATGGAAGGGAAGGTGCAAGCTATGGGGAAAAAAAACAACAAACAAAAACCATTTACAAATGAAATTAACATGTTTCCTCAGAGATTAAACTGAATTTTATCTTATACTTGGAACTGAACTGCTGCAGACTAGTGCTACAATTAAGTCTCGGTCTTTTACCTTTAACAAGGCCTACATACATTATTCATGGCTGAGCCCCATGTCAAGCTGCCTGGCTTGTGAATATCAGTAATAATCTCTGTGATGTCTCTATGACCAGACAATCTATTTGAAGCAACAAAAGCAATTGCTCATACAGCAAAGCAACACTAGAAACCTGTGTTTCTAGTCTAGATCACAGTTTTGTCCTGTAGAAAAAATCATGTTCTTTTACATCTGCTCTTGATGCCATTTTCCTTTTTTGTACACTCTGTTCTCCTCTCCTCCTCTATTCCCTTAAAAATACCAATTAGTTGCTTCATACAGTTTTTCCTGTTAACCACAAGTTCTTTCAAAAGATCTTTGTTCAGTTTTTGGTGATGGTTTTTTGGTTTTGTGTTTTTTGTTTTGTTTTTTTTCCCCCACAGTAGGACCATCCCCAGAACTTGGCAGGTTATTTGTTTGTTTGTTTGTTTGTTTTTAAACAAGCACATTTCTTATTTCATTTCTGAGAGAAAAGAAAGTTTCTTCTTTTCTGGAGGAATCTGGGATGGCTGGTTGGGTGTGACCAGCATCCAGGAATAACATGCTGCAAGAATAAAACACAGCCTCCCACTTAGTCACCATCAGCACTGCTCCTTCCCAACTCAGCTGGAGACCTGGTGCCCTGTGGCCCATTACACCATAGGCAGCATGTGAAAAAATGAGGACCACAACCATTTCCCCTCTCTGTTCTCCAAAGAAAGAGTTGAGGCAAACACTGAATTTGTGACCACAATATAAAATGTTCTGAGTTGGTAAAATCAGCAATTCTATAGGGAAAACCCCCACCACTTTACAGAATCTCAGAAGGGCTGAGATTGGAAGGGGTCTCTGGAGATATCTCTGGAGTCCCCCTGCTCCAGCATGGTCACCTAGAGCCAACTACCCAGGACTATGTCCAGATGCCTTTTGAATACATCAAAGAATGGAGATTCCACAACTTCTCCAGGAATCTGTGCCAGGGTTCAGTCAACCTCACAGTGGGAAAGTTTTCTCCCCCAAAAAACTACAGATACCACATTTGAGACTAGTAACTCTGAATTCCTCTGGTGACTCCTTGTAGGGTCTAATAAGTGCTGAGTTGTCCCTGTTCTTGGGCAAACACATGCACAGGGCCCAGGTGTCTGTATGGTCTTCCCTAGGTAGTGCTGGTCTTTTTGCAAAAGCTCTGGACATTTTCCACGTCAGTCTCTTCTTTGCCTTGAATTTAATGACACTTAAATTTATCTTAGTAAAGCTGTAGAGCCCAGTATATGAACAGCATGCCATGTGAGATAAGTGGAATGCTAATTGTTAATGGCCCTTTGCACACAGGACTTTGACATGCAAGACTCTGAAAAAGTAGTGGTGCTTGGCAACTATCTCCGCCTGCATCCTGGGTGGAAATGTGCCCTCCAAAATGGCAACTAGGAAATCAAACTGACAGTGCTTATCCTCTCCCTGACAGTGTGCACCCACAAAGTCTTCCACATTTCCATGGCTGGGCACTGGGAGCAGCACTTTAGCACACCATCTACCACAGAAGAAATATCAGGGCAGCACACACTGGACAAAACTAGTTTATTTTACTACGATGTTTATGAGGTTATTGAAATTCAGAAGAATAACTGAACAAACTGAAGACTGAGCATGTGATTATTTTGTATCATACTTCATATGTCGCACTTGCTGCTGTAAATGTATATTTCAAGCAATGTAATGATCATTTAGCATCTTTCTGTAAAAAAAATATACCAAAACCTCAACGCTGGCTGACAAATAGTAGAGACAACTTTTGAGGAATAAAGGCCTTTCAGACCACTCTATTTCCAAAGTAACACATGATAGATAACGTTAAAGATTTATCCTTGGCTGATGTGATTTTCCTCTCCACTTCTTCTAGCCTCATCTGCCTCAAGATGAATTAAGTGCTTCTGAGCAGTGCCAGGAAAAGGATTTCGCTTCTCAGCACTGTCAATAATTTATCTACCACGGGAGAGAACAGGGGATACAGACACTCTCCCTCCCAACAAATGCCTCCAGGGATTCTTCTCAGAGGTGAAAAAGTAATTCAGGGACAGGTCCTGCCCTTTTAAATTAAAACACTCAGTGATTCCACAGTCTCCTCTAACTGAGGACTGCAAGCCAGACATACCACATAGAGATATCATTAGCAGGTGTGTGCACCTGTAGACGTGTACAGGTATCCTGTTGGGAACACATGATCAGCCTTGCCACCGAGATGTAACTCCAGCAGCATTATTCTGAAATAAGTGTTTTACCAATTGAAAAAAAAAAAACAAAGGACACACCCAAAAACCCCCACAGACACAAAATCAAGGTAAAGACCAAGACCAAGATACCACCTTACATGTAAACAAAGCCAAGCACTGGAAGGCATTAGAAAAATGTCAGCTCCTAAACACTTGGTTGACATACCCTACCAGGACAGGTAATTCTAGGATGAAGTTGTAGTTTCTATTTTAGGATGAATTATTAGCTAGCAGCTGAGATGAAATACATGTCACAGTTGCCATCATGAATAACCACTCTATTGTATAAGTACTCAGACCTGTCTACAGATTCTGAAGCAAACCAAAATTCATTGTGAAGGCCATTAATTCCTGCTATTTGTCTAATTTGAAGGAATTACCTTAGAAGTACAGTTATTTCTCACCATTTTATTAATCTTAATGTAATTACCTATGTTCTTACTAATTTTGAGCTATTGATTCCTACTCTCAACTGAAGTTCTCTTCCTTTGGGGAAAAAACCCAACATCTTCAAGACTGCAGTGCAGGTGCTGGTATATCAAATAGCCAAAACTCAGTGAACACCACTAAAAACCAGCCCATTGGAGCAGATACTGATTAGCTCTTCCATCTGGTGCCCAACTCCAGCAGTTTGGCTTCCTAGGAGTGAGCTAGCTAAACTTAACACATGCTGCCTTATCATTCTGGTGACAATATGTAAACAAAGATCAAACCCCACTCCTTCCAGGAAAAGTGTTATTCTCAGGAGAACTAGAGATCTTTGACCAGAACTACAGTCTGCTCATTACAAAACCTGTCCAAAATACAATTCCACGTAGTTTTTAAAAGTATATAAAATTTGTGTTTAGGCAGGAAAAAAAGTAACATCAAGGACAAAGACATTTAGAAATATTCAGTATTTAATAGAAATTCTTTTGTGCATGTATTTTTCATGTAAGCTTTTCAGAAGTGCAATTCAATACTGAAAAGAACAGAAACATCAGAAGCTAGTGATATCTTTCGGACAACCTCAGTATCAGTATCTTTTGGACAAAAACTAAAGAGAACACTGTATAAAAAAATAACAGGTACTTTCCGGTCAGATGTCACAGTAAAAAAGAAAGCAGAAACTGGGTCAAAGAGAAAGGAAGGGGAAGTGTACACACTGCCCTGAGTGAAACAAGGAAAACTACAGCAGTCACTTGATGTTTTTCTTCAATCTTACCACTCCACTAGTGTGAATGTCTGGGCTGACAGTAAATGTGTAAAAGGACTAATGCTTGAAGGTTTATTTGATCTTCAGCTGATGGATGTACAGAGTTTATAATGGCCACTGCTTTCACATATAAAATTAAGGCTGCAGATGCTTGCAAGCCATGCATTAAATTTTGTCATCATAATTTGTTAAAGCAGCACAACATTAAAACAATGAGTAATGTGAGGTCATTACATTAAATAAAGTGGGTTCAAGAAGAATAAATTCTGTTCTGATCAGTTATGCAGCTCATGATTTTGGAGCAATGCCTACATCAAGTGACTCGGTTTCTTTCAAACCTTAGTTCCACCTCAAAAATAAGAAAAGAAGCTACTTAAAATTATGTTAAGCTCCCAGTGTAAGAGATATAGTGGAATAACAGGCTGGTAGAAAGGGGGTCTCAAGAATGTGCAGCAGACACCAAAGTCTTAATTCACTCCCTGGTACCAACAGAGAGATGAAAATATATTTGTCTGACAGCAAATTGCAAAATTCAAAACAACCAAAATAATATTTTTCCTGCTCAAGGTACACAGCTCAAAAACCTCCCTTCGAGTTGACTATTAAGATGAAACATCTAAAAGCCAAAATCAAATACAAACAAAAGCCCTTTGAACAGTGACTGGCCACTTTACAGACAAAATATTTTGTCCAGGGAAAGATGAGTGAAGAGCACAAGATAAGAGAAAAAGAAGTCTAACTTGCTGCTTTGTTACTGTACACTACATTCTGTTGTTACTGAGAATGTAGCGCTCATGGATAGCCCTTTGGGATAAAAGTATATCAGAAATGCATAGCAAATGGAAAACATCTCGAGGACAAGCCATACATAAACTGTCATAGATTCAATAATATTAACCCCATGAAGCAACAGCATTTCTGTTTTGCCCTGAAGTAAGGTAACAGAACAAGGACTGCAGTCCTGTCCACCATTCTTACCAACTCACCCAACCCAATCTAAGGGTGCTCTGTCAGCACAGTAGCACAGTAGTGCTTGCTCATCTGGATGCTGCAGAGAAATCCAGAAAGCAAAAAAATACCTAAAATACTGGCAGGGTTGACAGAAGAGGTGACAAAAACTAGAATTCAATTGTAATGAAAATCATGAATATGATTTCAAACACTTGGGCAACTTAGGTAGAAAAAAATGAAAGTTTTGGGTTATTCAATGTAGAATCATAGAATCATAGACTGGTTTGGGTTGGAAGGGACCTTAAAGACCATCTAGTTCATATCCCCCTGCCATGGGCAGGGAACCTTCCACTACACCAGGTTGTTTAAAGCCTCATCCAGCCTGGCCTTGAACACCACCATAACCATTCCAGGAAAAAGTCCTGGTATGAAAAGGTCTTAATAAAAGCAGCTGATCCCTTATGTTTGCCTCAGCACAGTCCTGTCACAAAGGCAGTCAATTGAAGAGTGATACATTCACAACAAGTAAAAGGCAAATACTGCCATGTCTATCAGACTGTCAACCTTTGGAACTCCTTGTCAAGAGTTCAGAGGGATGGCACACTGAGGGTAAGATAGAAATGATTATCTAACAGCATAGTAATGTACTGTTTAAATGCATCTCTCTAAAGTCTGTAGGCCTGTGGGCCCTGAGGCAGGGCAGGAGCATTATGTAAGTGAAGTGCAGGAGAAAGGACAGGGGAGAAGGGCTTCACCAACCATTTTGATTTAAAGTAGTCCCACCCATGAAATCTAAGCCCAGGCTCTTCAAGTGTATTGAAGTGTCCAGCTCAGCTGAAAATTGTTCAGCTGCAACTGAATTCCTATGGGAGGCAGGCACCCAAAACCTTCGAGAATTGATATCTTAGTAACGAGTTCTATTGCTGATATTCAGGGTTCAGAGTCCACTTGGGGCTGCACAAGCTACATTTGCTCCACAGCAATAACAGCAATTCTCTAGGTTCTGAAAACAGCAGGCAGCATCAAAGTGGACTTATCTAATATTTGGGATTCATTACTTTTCATTTTCAGCATAGCATAGCCAAGCAACCCACATACTTTCATTACAGACAGAATGAAACACCCACTTTAAGTCACATACAGCCCCCAAACTGGTGAAAAATTTCTATTTCTCAGTTCAGTCTTGAATTGGTGAGTTAAAATTTCTAGATCCAGTAAGAAACATTCTTAATATCCTCTTGCTTTTGTGAGTCCATGTCTCATTCCCAGTGTGTGGTGCTCAGTATTTGTCACAACTCTGTAAATGCAATTTAGTGCAGTATTTGTTATCAGGAGATCCATCACATTGGTGGTAGCAGAATGAGGCAATTCCAAAAGGGACACCAGAGTCGAGCAAGGACAAATAGCATGTTGTTCGACTGCACTCACTTGCAAAATGATGGTATCAATCTGTTTCTGTATTTTGTTTTTCTTTTTTTATCAAAAGATTGTCTAGTCCCTATTATTTCTACTTTTCTCCTTTTTCATTTAGCTCATTCGTTTTTCCTATTTTTCTTTTTATGGATCTCAAATAAATGCAGTTCTTTTTGTTAATTTTTGCACACATCAATAATGTAAACATTCCTCTAGGAATAACTTCTATTAGATCTCTTGAATTGGTAGGCCTGAAACAGTAACTTCTCCTCCACTCCTGCATCTCTCAGTCATCCGGTCTCACTCAAAATGTGGCACAGCTCACCATAACAAGCTTTCCTTAGTCAGGCAGGCACTAATTTCTGTTTCCCCTCCAAAGAAAGCACTGTCTATTGAAGGCATTCTCATGTGGTCAGAGTGTTTTCAAATAAGATATTTTGTCATTATTTAAAACATTTCTTTCCAAATGCCACTTTACCACTAAAAGAGCAAACTGCAATTAATTAATACATGCCTAACTTTTAAAACTGAATAGTCCTACAGATCCACAGGCACACATAAAGCCAAGGATGTGCTCCAGTGCAGTATCGAAGCATACATTAATGCACAAAGCATACATTAATGCACAAAGGCTGCCCCTCACATGAGGCAGCATTTGGCATGCAGGCTCTTCTTACAACCATTAGGATTTAGCCTGCAAGCTCTTTTTGCAACTATTTCAACAATTTTCCTCCAACACTTTCCACCTTCACTTCCAGCAGTATTTCACCGCCAGCTTTTAGCATCTCTTCACGTTTAAGTCTCGCAGGAGTGTTGGCTTAGTGGGAGAGGTGCTGAAAGGCAGGGAATCACCACCAGGACCCCGCCTCAGCAAAAAGCAAACAAAAATAAGCGGTATGGACAGGCAGAGCCGAACGCGGCCTGCAGCAATGGCAGCTCACAAACAGGCCCAGCACAGCTCGGGGCACAAACACAGCCCCGGGTGCTCCCGGCCAACGAGACAATAAACCGGAGGTGAAAAACGTCACTGGGAAAGTGACACGGTCCCGCAGAAGCACCGGAGACGGCGGCTATTGTCTGCTGACCGCTACAATATGAAAATCCTGAGGAGCTTCCTGATTCACCTCCTTTATTGTTTGTGTCGCCGAAAGGCACGGGCCGAGTGAGGGCCGGGCCCGGGCTGCCCTCGGGCCCGGCAGTGCCCGGCGGTGACAGCGGAAGCGGAGCCGGGGCCGCCCGGGCAGCGGCCGCTCCGTCCTCCCCCGGCACCCCCGGCTCTGCAGGGCCGCGCTGGGGCGATTCGCTCCCTCCCCGCGCTCCCCGCGGAGCCTCCCCCTCGGCCTCCACCTCCCCGGCCCGCGGCAGGGCCGAGCCGGGTCCGGACCCGCGCCCCGCGGTGTCCCGGCCGGCGGCAGCCCCGGGGGCCGGCGGGGAAGGGGCTCCGGGCCCGTCCGAGCCCCTGCCCCGCGCTCGGCGCTAGGCCCGGCTCGCAGCCCCGGTGCGGCGTGGCCGGGCCCGCCGGCGGCCTTACCGCCTCCACGGCGTGCTGCAGGATGGAGGTGAACTTGGAGAACATCCTGTCCCGCGACTGCAGCAGCCGCTGCCGGGAGGACCGCGAGAGCTCCTCGATGCGCCGCCGCCGCCGCTCCAGGGTGAGGGCTGCATGCGGGGGCCTGGCCGCGGGGATCGGGCGGGCGGGCGCCGGCGCTGCCTTTCGCTCCCCGGCGGACACCGTGGCACTGACACCGCCGGGCGCGGCGGCGGCGGCTGCCGAGGCTCCGGGTGCCCTGCAGGGGCCGCCACCCCCCGCACGCCGCCCGGCCCTGCCGGCCCTGCCCGCCCCGCTCCGCTCCGCCCGGAGCGCCGCGTTCCGCCCGGGCCGCCTGTCCCAGGTTGGCAGCGGGCACCGAGCCCCAGGAGCCCCGAGCCAGCCCCCGCCTCTGCGGGCAATTCCCGGGCAGGGAGGTGAATCACAGAATCGATTAGATTGGAAAAGACCTCTGAGATCATCGAGTCCAGCCTATGACCGAACACCACCAGGTCAACCAGACCATGGCACCACGTGCCACCTCCACTCTTTCCTTGAAACCTCCAGGGAAGGTGACTCCACTGCTTCCCTGGTCAGCCCATTCCAATATCTAATACTCCTTTCTGTGAAGAAGTTCTTCCTAATGTCCAACCTAAACCTCCCCTGACACAGCTTAAGACTATATTCTCTTGTCCTGTTGCTCATTGCTTGGGAGAAGAGAATGATACCCAACCCGCCACAACCTCCTTTCAGGTAGTTGTAGAGAGTGATAAAGTCACCCCTGAGTCTCCTTTTCTTCAGACTCAGTACTCCCAGCTCCCTAAGCCGCTCCTCATAGGACTTGCACTCGAGTCCCTTCCTCAGCTCCATTGCTTTCTCTGGACAAACTCCAGTACCTCAATGGCCTTCCTGAATTGAGGGGCCCAGGGATACAGCACTTGCGGTGTGGCCTCCCCAGTGCCAAGTACAGAGAGATAAGCCTTTCCCTGGTCCTGCTGGCCACACTATTCCCGATCCCAGCCAGGATGCCATTGTCTTCTTGGCCGCCTGGGTACACACTGGCTCAGGTGAGGGGAAGAGGCACCCACCTCTGCTGTCCCTGTGCCCAGACGCTGCCATCAGGCTCCCACAAAGGTCTCTGGGGCTACATGTGCCCCTCAGAATCATGAGAGTGGGGAGACCGCCACCTCCACCCGCCTGCCAGCATGGTACAGATGCGGAACAGCCCTGGCATGGATGGCCAAAGGCCCAGATTGCCGTCTACTGGAACATTTTGGGTCTGTCACTGTCCACAGGGACGGTGAGATCCTCAAGGATACGATGACGTGCCCAGCTATCCACAAAGCAGCACAAGGGTGATAAGCTCAGAAAGACAGTGACAAGCGGTAGAGTCACCACCAAATGAGTGGATGTGGCGCTTTGCCATATGATTTAGTGGTCATGGTGGTGTGAGGTCAAACATTGGACCTGAGGATCTTGGAGGTCTTTTCCAACCTTAATGATTCAATCTTGTTGCTGCTGGGTGAAAGGCAGGTTGAGTGGGTGGCATGGTCCTGTCTGACTGTGGTTAGCCTGGGGCTTGCAGAGAACCACATCTAAGAGGGCTTGTGGCAATGAGCACATTACCCATTTCACTGGGGGTGTTTTGTTTATTTTGTTTGTTTGTTTATTTGTTTTACAGAGAGAAAGAGGCAAAGATGGGTTTATTTCACCTCCAAATCAAATACTTCAAAGAAAAAGATCATCCCTGCCATTTTCCAGTGCCATGCAAAAAGCAGAGGTAAGGTGGGGTGAGCAGAGGTTATGGATGTAGCTAGCAAGTGGTGTGATGTTTTGGGAACAGCTGCAATTCATGGGATAATATTTGGGCACTAGGAGAACAAGATTGCTTTGGCACGGCAGAGAGTGAAATGTTGGGAAGGTGAAAGACTAGTAGGGGAAAAGGAAGAGAACCTGTAGTACCAAATGAAGAAAAGCTGCCTCATTAATTTTTTGAGATGAATGAACACCAACTTCCTCATATGCTAAGAGAAAGCAGAGAGAGATGAATCCAAAGACATGACAAAACTACTCTTTAACTTCTGTTCTTTAAATTGTGTCACCTGGGAAGTCAGACTATGACTGTTGACCCTGTGATAAAGTCTTACCATGATTCTGCTGTACTGGTTGCTGTTACTACCTCTGTGCTTTGCAGGCACAGAGAGCTACAGTCCAGGTACTCTATGGAAGTAAATAGTAGTTGTATGTGGACACCTCCACTGCAGGGCTAGCTATTTCCTTTTTAAAATCCATATATATAAAATAAGAATTTAAAAGGTGTTACTTCTTCGGTTTTTAAAATCTGCTTACTCGTGGTTTGTCAAGTTCTATTCTATAGATGTTCATACAGAAATGTAAATTTTCTGTGTGGATAGTCACATGGTGAAACACATGTACCATCTCTGTGTTTAGGTAATTATTAACTGGATAGATGCTGCATTTGGAAGGTGCCTATCTTCTATCATTTAACATTAAAAGTTCTGTTAGACTTTTTAAGTGTGCTCTAGGAGACAAATCTGTCTTCAGATGAATTTAAGTGTCATCGACTATAGTTTTGCAATACACCCAGATTATTATTAATGTTTATGTATATTTTAATATGTAATACTTAGCTATTTATTTTGTTTATATTATTATTTTTATATAAGTATAGTTCAAGTGTTACTTTCAGCCTGCTTGTATGGTTTTTATTTGAAATTCTTATTGCTTTCATTAAAAAGTTAAAGATGAGTTGTGGTTTTTAATGCAAATTTTGTCAGCACAACCACAGTAGTGGAACAACTTTCCTCCCATCAGTGTGATGCCATTTACCATGTTAATGAGCACCTTCCCCTTTTCTCACCGTAGATACCGTTTTGGAGCCTGCATCATTTCAGAAGAAAATGTGGATATAAGGCACACGTACTTGATTAGGGTGTCTAAGAGAACATGGTAATTTAAGATGCTCTTTGCAATCTGTTTGTTTCTGAAAAAATGTCTTTTGAATGTGCCTGGGCCTTCCCATTTCTGAGCAGCAGAATGAATAAAGAAACAGTAAGATATCATGAAGATATAAAAAGAGACAGTTTTATAACTCTGAGAGTATTCCTAAGCATGCTTAACAATTTAGGAAATCATAAGTCACAGATTTACAGATGGTGAGGTAAAGCTTTTCTAAGAGTGCCTTATGTATATAAATTCATTATTATTTAAACAGAATATTTCATAGCTGTTGAAATTAAGATTTTGATTGTAAAAGTGACTTCTTATTAGGACTTCTCAATGTGAAATGCCTTCCAGCAGAGGAAACAAAGAAAATACCACAGTTAAATGATTATTCCTAAGCTTATTAAACAAATTGAGTCTCTGCACATAAGCCTGCATTTATTTACCAATAGCTTGAATGTGTAGCCATACATGCAGAATCCAACCTGTAGTGCTTATATCTATTGCAAATTATAGATATACTTTTTGAATGTTTTTTTAAAGTAGTCTCTTAGTTTCTCAAGTATATGTATGTATTTCTCACTGCTGGGAATATTGGATAAATATTCACAGACCAGTAATAATGCAAATCACTGGAAACTAAGGGAAAAATTCTTTCACCAGGGTCAGTGCAGAAGAACTTAGCTAAGGTTACATTTTGTTTGGATACTTCTTGTTCTCACTGGAGGTGATTTAATTGGAGATGATGCAGTTATGGACGAGCTACCAGTGTCATATCACATACAACAATACATCTTCACCTGCTCATGCTTTATAATGTTTCCACCGAAATAAACACAAGTATTACTACCTATTTTAGTACTCTTGAGAGCAGAGTTCTGATGGTTTGAGGGTGTTGGGGGTTTTTTTGGCGAAACAGTTCTTTTTTTGGGGCAATACATGCAGTGAGTTAGTGTTTTGCTTGAATGTGAGAAGACAGTGTGAAAGTGAGGCTATTCTAATTGATAGAGCTTTTGGGAACTTTTCTCCTTCTTACAGATTAATGAAATTGTCTAGATTAAATCAATTTAGATGGAGTGAGAGAGTGAGATAATTGGCTAGCCTTTCTATCTGAAAATTTCTCTGCTATTTGGATTGATGGCATCAAGCCAGTGTCTAATGGATGCATTTGTCTACATTACAGAAGAACTTCTTGCAGTCTGGACTTTCACTTCAGAGAAGCTGAAAATTTGGAAGGTGCATTTTTGTATCCTAGGATGAAAACTTGCAAGTAGAGCTGTGCCCAGTATCTGTTGATATTCTGGATTTTATTGTGTTTATAATAATCAGATTGACATCTATGTTTTCAGTGACTACTTGGATGAAATAAAGAATGAAGTTTTAGTGGCTCAGCATGATCTCTGCTTTTTAGGAGGGCTAAAGGGATTGTTAACTTCATCTTCATACCTGTCTGATTCTGGACTTTATTACAGAAAGCAAGCATGTTGTGCATTACATACTGAAGAGCAAGCACTGGAACTCAGGTCATTTTCTGCCATGAATTTCTGGTTGTCTGTGCTCTCATCTGTGTGCATCAGCTCCCTCCTTGCTGATTTGCTGGCAGCACCATGTAATCAGCTCATGCAGTATTTCATAAATCCCATTTTCAGGCATTTCCTGGCATGTGTATCCTGCTCCACATCTGCACATCTGCTCCTTATGTGCAGATATTCATTTGTCTTCTGATGGTTACAAACTTCTTAGTGATTAATCTTTTGTCTTATTGCTTACCTGTCACATCTGCAAGTGTCTTCTGACACCAACATTCACCGATACTGTGGAAGACTCAACACCAGGCAAATATTGCCTGCCCAGTAGCTATTGCTTATGTTTGTGCTTCAGTTACACTGTCTGTACCCTGATTTATCTTATATAATGGCTTGTAAAGGAGACCACGAGGAGGTCAGAAGTACATGTTATCAGTGAAATGAGACATTTATTTTCCAAACACATCATGTTTTCCTGAAATGTTTCTATTCCACTGGAAGCATTATAATCCAGGTTTTCCTCCATAAGTAAATATATGAATGTTCTGCAACAGGGTGTCTGCAAATGCTAGCATATAATAAATTACTGAAACCAAATAAAATACACTTGAATGTGACCAGTTAGAGCTTAGCCAATTTCACTGAAGTCTGCAGGTTAGCAGGAGCACAAGTTTACTTGTTCTTGTGGTAGTGGAAGCTGAAGCAAGGAGATTAAAGATAGACTACTGAGTTTATGCTGTATTGCAACACTAATGACTGCAAAAGTCTATGTTATAAATAGACATAAAACTGGATGTTGCCCTGAAATACTGGAAACAAAATAATTGACTGTTTGTCTGCTATAAATTGGTTCCCTCAGTATTTCATCTGAGTGTTTGCAGAGAGAGAAGTCTGGCAACCAGAATCTGTTTGTGTTTCTGGGGAGAATTCAGGTGCTTAGCCTTGACCCTACTGAGAGATTTCCAAGTAATGTTCAGATAAGCTCTGACTGCATTGTTTGTTTTCTAATGCATAATAAGATTTCATTGTTACTTACATCTTTAGATTAAGGGCTATAATCTGTTGATCCCTAAAATGTCATCAGATAATCTGTTTAATCATAAGCAAAAGCTGATCTTGATAGTCTGTATGAGTTATGCAAATTAATTCAGGCACACTAGTACCATGCAAGTATAGAAGCTTTCAGCAGAGTGCTCTTTCTCATTAGTCCACAATTAAAAGTAAGATTTTGTTAGAGTTTCAATTCACATATCTCTGTCCTGAGGCATAATTGAAATCTCTTAGGGAGTCTGACGTGAAATTTTGAAGCAAGTGTCAAAAATATTTATGTTGCAAGTCACTCGATAGTGGCTTCATGATTAATTTTAAATTATTGATAGCACAGTTATCTAGAAGGGCCCAAATACTAGTGTCACAACGCTCTCCAGCGTTCACTACCCATAAAATTGAGTGACAAAATTCCAGCGATTTTCTCCATCTGTTTGTCGGGAAGGTGGCCACTGAATCCCGAGAGTTCCAGCTCTCACCAGCAGAGAGCGCAGCTGACCTGGCTTAACCTCTGGGACACAAAGCAGCAGGATTTAGAGAGATTCCCTCATAGAATGTTTCTAGGGAAAAAAATAACCCTGTGTATACCGTGTAGAATGAACTAGTATGTCAACTAGTAATATTGCCTCTGGGCTTAACTGCTGTGTATTACTTGGCTTGTAAGAGCTTTGCTTGCTACACGTGACAGCCCATCATTAGCAGTTCACTTGTCCTGCTTGGTTCTCAAATTATGTTATTTGAAGCTACGGGACTGATTTGAGTTTATAAAGACATTGACGTACCCCTGTGGCTGTCACATGCCACATGATATTTGCATCTTTGCATCATCTTTGCAACAACTAAACCCCAATGAATTTAGGAAGAGTCTTGTATTCAGAGACTGGCCCTTCTTGACAACTAATTGAATTCTCATGTGGTTTCCACAGAGGTGAGAGTGACCATGTACATCTCCATTGCATTATTTTACCTGCAGGTGAGGGTAGAGGGAGCCACCTCTACCTCTCCGCTTTCTCATAGGATTTCATGTTCAGAAGGTATACTCTGAGCCAAACTGCATTTCCAGAAAAAGTATGTACAGCTTGATCCTTTGTAATTTTTTCTGAGTCATCAGCCCTATAGGAGCAAGCGTCTGTACTTGGATAAAGCCTTTAAGGAACTGAGCTGGAGGCACTACTGACTGAGCAAAGAAAATGAAGTCTGCAGTAGACCCAGTGTCATGCAGGAATATTTCTGTTGCTCATCCCTGTTCTTTTGCCTCAGGCTGATTTGGACTAGTTTGACACTAAGTCCTCATGTTGTGCAATGCTGAAGTAAGCAGACCTGTGTTTGTAATATGCCTAATATAATGGAACCTGTTCCTGATTAGATCTTGGAGTAGTGCTGTAATATGCTGTACTTGATTCCTGCCTGGCAGCTCATGTGCCAAGCGAAGTATTTCTAGCGATTTAGTTTCTCTGGTTTTATGTTCAGGAGCTGTTACCCCCAGTGTCTGGGTCTCCCAGGAATTCCCAGGTGCAGTATATTGAGCTGTGATTAGTACCCGGAGTGCCTGACTGTTGCATCAGACACTGCAGTCTGCAGCAGTCTGCATGTCCTGCTTCCTCTTCGGCAGCAGAGACCCAGTTGTGATACTGGCATTGCATGTACAGCATAAGTCAAAATTCTATATTCAGATGTAGAAATCTTGGACTGACATTAATCGGTCTCCATGAGCTGTTGCAAAACAACTCATCCCGGAGCCCGATCCCGGCCCACAGAGGGCAGCCCGATGCCGTGTTTTACTTCAGTGATGTGCTCAACTTGGGAATTCAGTCATCTGCTGGCATCTCTATCAGCATGACTTGCTGGGGAATAAACAACCGAATGTTGTGGAGAATTAGCATCAGCCCTAAGCTCAAACAGATTCAAAAGTGGACTTAAAAAAAAATTGCATGGCTAAATTAAACCACCTTGTACTATTTTTTTAAAATCATACCGAAAGAAAAATATTACATAAGAAAGCTCAGTTTTGAATATCTTGCATGTACAACAAATAAATTCATTGGTTAAAAGGCAAGAGAGGGAAAATACCCAGAATTTGTGTACCTGCATGTACTGGGCAAGACTAATAGAAGAAAAGTGCTTTTCTCTTTTTCCAAATCTCTTCAGGAATCTTTCAGGATTCAAGTTATTGTTACCAGTTACTGTTACTGTTTCTGTTACAGTCATAAGACTGCTCCTTTGGCTGGTTGGCCCATGTTCTTTCCCAAGTGTGTCCTAAGTCCTTGTGAAACAGCCATCACAATTTCCAGGAGATTTTGTGTAAGAGACTGTGTTTACATGCAGACATGTGCCTGAGCTATAAAACTTATCAGTGCCAGGTGGGGTGCCAGGGCTTGGTATCTTGACTTATGAAAAGGAACAAGGCATACGGCTCCTGAAAAAGAGCCAGTACTTTGTGTCTCTCAAATCAAATTGCATCTACCAGCTAATTAAGGAATGATCTTGAAATGCTCTGAAGGGAAGCCTGTCCAGTTCTGTATTTCTCAGCCAGAGGGCCCTGCAACACAGTATTCAGAATAGAAAATATGTATAAAGAAAATAGCATTGAGAAATTAAGACAGCCTCAGCAATGTGTGAATTCCAGGAGTACAGGGAGAAACGTAAGTATCTCTTATGATCAGATACCAAATTACACACAACTATTTAGATAATTAATTTTTTTGACCCCAGACTTGTAACCCCACACAAGCCTGGCTGTTCACAGCAGAATGTAGTTTATACTCTTCTCAGAGTTTGGCTCATTGTAATTGCAACTGCAGGTGAATTTTCGCTTCTCATTCCTAAAACTTTTCCCATGTGTAGGAGTGCTGAGAGATTTTGGCTCTAGTTTATTCAGAATATTCTTTGCTATTCTTGCAATGCTGTTCATTAAGATCTTTGCTAAGGTGAACTTTGACCAAGCTAGTGCCTGCCACATTTTACATGGTGTAAAAGATACTCTATGTAAAAACACTTGCACATTTAACCAATTTTGCCACAGCAAAATTCTTTAGGGTAAATAGTAAAGTAGGGCACACAGTGAATTAATGCCCTTACTTGATGCAGATCTAAAAACTATAATGTATAATTACCAACAAAGGCAGTTTATGGGATTGTCTCTAAATCTTCTGAGGCAACCACTGATGCAGTTACTCCATTGCAGAAGGTTGGTCAGGCAGGACCCGCCCTTGGTGAAGCCCTGCTGCCTGTCTCCAATCACCTCCCTGTTCTCCATGTGCCGTACCATAGCTTCTAGGACGATCTGTTCCATGGTCTTCCCGGGCATAGAGGTGAGACTGATGGGTCAATAGTTCCCAGAGTCCTACTTTCCACCCTTTTTAAAAATAGGAGTGATGTTTTCCTTTTTCCAGTCACCAGGGACTTCACTTGAGTTTTCAAATATCATGGAGAGTGGCTTGGGAACTGCACCAGGCAATTCCCTCAGGATTCTGGGATGCATCTCATCCAAGTCCCATAGACTTCTATTCACAGCTCTTACTTGCAGTACATGTTTCATATGTGAACCTGTGAGAACCTGATTCAAAACCTGATTAAGTTTCTGACTCTGAACTCTTTCTTGGGATCTTTCTGATAAGGATACACACATAGAGGTGATGCTGAACTTCTTCAGCAGTAAGCTGCCCAATGATGATCTTTCCAGACTTGACACTCAGAAATGAATGGTCATTTTGGCCTTTCTGTCCTAAGTTCCCACAGGCACAGTAGTCATTTTGATGGAAAAGCAATCTAGAGTAGATATAAATAGGCTTATCTGCGGGTTTTTCCTTAGTTTTCCAGGATTGCCAATATTTCTTGGTTATATAAAACCTATATCATTTATGTGATGGCATGATCTTATATAATCTGTGTAAAAGTTTTTGGGTTATTCAAGTCCAGTAGTCTGTACTGACTTGGGATAACAGAGGTTCAATATTATAATTTTTGCCATTAAAGTGCATATATCACAGAAAATCTGAAGAGCTGAATAACATGCAGAGGATTAAGACAACTGGAAAAAGAAGGAACAAGGAGGATGACTTCAGGATTTGTCTTACTCGGGAATTTTCTATCTTTTTGAGTTTGTTTCCTCTTTTTTGTATGATGGTTAAGTCTCTTTATATATGTATGTGGGATATTTGGGGAAAAAAACTTCAGTGAAGATTTCTATCAATATTTGGTGTGAGTAATTTGAGGCTCAGTTCTCCTTTGAAATATATAAATGGGAACATTTCTCAAAAGAGATTAGTGGGAACTGCTCTGGAAGCTCATTGCAATCAGTGAAAGGCCATGTATTTATGTGAATATGCTGCCCATTACTGAATAATTGCAGATTCCAGTAAGAGTCTTACATTGAAAGTAAGAGAGCCGTCTTGCTTTCTTGTCATTCATGTCACAGAGAGCGATTTATTCTGAGCTTATTAAAATTCTGATTAAATTATCAGGCTTAGTAATGCTGTAGATTTTGTTTCTTTCTAGTATGACTGCTACAGGTCTGATTTCCCTAAGAAATGAGCCAGTGGAGTTATAGTGAAACATGTTGCAAAAATTTGTAGAAAATTCCTCTGGTTTCCATCATTCTTCAGCATTCCAGTATCAGTTCAGCAAAATAAACAGATAATTCAGGCCAATCCTGGCCATCCTTGTCATTTGCCTTGCCTACAGAAGTTGTTTAACGAAGTCTACTTCTGTAAGAATTTGTCTTTTGTTCTGAAAAACCCAGTCATTTTCTCACAATGTCTTACAAGAGGAAACATCCTCCATTGTGCAAAGATGGGTATATTCTGACTGATGAGTTATCTGCATCAGACAAAGATGTAATATTGACTTTTGCCTGCTTTTTTGTCCATGCTAAGTCATCCTCCACTGATTTTCAGGGGAAAAAACACATTTACATACAACTGATTAGATCTTAATTATTTTTAAAACCACTATCCTACTTTAAATGTGACAAACTGGTTCAAAAGTGATGAAAGGAAAACTTTCTTTTATATATTCGCACAATGGCTAAGGGACAGCAGGATATGCTGTACAGAGAATACAGTCCACTATTTAGGATACTTTTCTTTGAAGATGCAGGTTTTATTCTTTGCTTTGACATAGATTTTCTCTGTGACCTTAGACAGTATACTTAGCTCCTCAAGGGCATTTAGAAATCTGAGAATACCAATAGGGGATTTGAAAACACCTATTGCTTGGTTCCCAGATCTTCGTTCACAAAGCCTAGCCATGATTGCTTGGTAAAATATATTAATATTTGGACATCTCTGAAAAATCACGAGGTGCCTGTTTGGATCTCTTAAAGCCTGAATACCTTTAAAAAATGTTGATCATAATGGATCTTTTCACATTGTGAGTTAGAAGCCTTGGCTGTCTGCACAGTCAATAGGAGAATGCAGAAGGTAGGATCCTACTTCCTGGCTGACTAATTCAGAAGCCTCAGGCCTGAAATAAAACAATGTCAATCACTGCTCCCTAATGGACTTCTAGAGTAGTCAGGAAATGGTTCAATCAAACAGCGCAACGGCTTGCTGGTGCTAAAAAGGACCATTTCTGTTCCCTTTAATGGTTCCCGCTCACCCTTCCTGGCTGTGCGGTTCTGCACTTGCCTTCTGTCATGTCCTAGTGTTTGTCTGAGCCTTTGGTTCGGAGAGTGAATGTAGTGAATTTGGATAGAAAGTGAGCAACTCTTTGCTAATTGATGAGCTAAAGTAGTTCTGTGAGGATCAGACCAGTGCTGCAGTGAGGGAATCAGGAGCACAGCAGTTGGAGTAAGCAGAGAGGGAGTGCATAGTGTGTGAGCAAGCCTTCTCTGACTCAACATCTCCTATCTATCTGAGGTCTTCATCTGTAAAATAGTAATAATGGTTTCTCATTTCTTGTCTGTACCTTCCTTTTCCACCCTCTTCAGCTTCCTTCCACATTCCCTAGATATTTGCAGGATCTCAGACAGCAACTACAGGAGCTGATTCAGCTGCCCACATGCAGATTGCCCGATCGGTACTTGTGGCCAATGAAGATGTGGCCTCCAGAACTGGTAACTGTTCCCACTGCAGCTTTTCTCTTTCGTTTTAGTTTCTCTTCGTAAGTGCTAATTGCTACAAAACTTGTAGGGATGTAGAACTCTTTCTGAATTATAGCTTTTAGTCAACTTGAATAGAAATTCCCTACATCCAAATCTGAAAATTCTTGGAGGGGACTTGATGGAGGGGACAGACAGGAAAATAAAACTCTATCAGCCTCAATTCCTCCAGAAATCCAGCTAAAAAGCTCTTTTTAATAAATGAGTGCTGTATCTTACCCATTTTAGAATTCTCTAACCAAAACGTCTGTTGAACTTCTCTGCCATAGAGAGTTTACACAATGAATGGATTAAACTCTTTGTGTTCCACAGAAACCCAAGTTACAAATGCTTTTCCCTTCCTGCTTCCTAGCACTATAAAGAAAGGAAGTTCTTCATTAAAAAGCTAATTTCTGCATGTTCCTGAACCTTCTTTTTAAAGCCATCTATTAAGTACCACACAGGAGAACCTGTCATAGTGCTAGTCAGAAACTCACCGAAGGAAGTGGATAGGAAATGACTCAATTGAAAATACAAAATCCTGTCGCACTACATTGATTGAGGAAAACCTTGGCTCTTTTGGACCAGAAGGAAAATTTGAGTTGTTTGCAAGTGGAAAACTTCACTGATTTCAGAAAAGAAGACTGGGAAAGGAACTGTTTTTCAAGTGGATGTCAGTTCATCAACTAAGGATAATGCCATAGGAGTTTGGGAGGAGAAGAACAACTTCAGATTTATTTTATTCCTGCTGCACGATTTAGAAACATTTGTAAGGGGCAAGAAAACAGAATGACATAAGGAATATGATTGAAGTGTTGGGGGGACACTGGGGTAAATAGAGCTGGATATGACTAAAAGTCTTTGCCATGTGTGAGCATGAGCACAAATTCAAACAGATGTGCCGATTCATTTTCTGTGCATGTATCACCCAATAAGAAGGTATGTGAGTGCTGTCCATCCTGCTGCTCCTTCCATATTTGCTTACACATATGCACTCCCTACTCGGTGTGATAGGGAAGGTGATCAGTGTAGCAGCAGTGCCAGAGGGTTGATCTGACAGAGCCGATACGCTGGCTGGGCTGCACCTGCAAACAGCAGTGGGAACATGTGGCACATCTGTTACTAGCACCCATTCCTGCTCTGTGGACACACTGATGTAATCTTCACCACTTCTCTTAGATATGACAATTTGGTAATTGTTGGGTTTTTTTGATGGAGAAATTGTGTAGGCTTCTTTGCTAGAATGAAGATGTACAGTATATGTAGAGCAAAGTGAAGGAGTGTGATTCAGTCTCTCCTGTCGTTTAGTTTGCATGTTGGCTTCTCACTGAACATCACAGATTGTGCTTTCTGTTTCTTAGTTCATAGTTGCCCATTCTGAAATTGATAAAAGTCTGCTGTAGTGTTTTAATTGCATTATTCTGATGTGGTCTTCTAACCTGTCATTCTTGATAAACTAGATCGTTGCTTTCCTTAACTCTTGCCAGCATCTAATAATCTGGTGGCGTAGGGTTTTTCTTTTTAGTGTGGCTTGGGAGTATTTGGCTTTATTAGGCTGGAGGCTGGGCCACCATGGGGAGGGGTGTCCACCAGATACTGATCTTGTTCTGGTGCGTTGCAGTCAGTCGCTCCCTGCTTTTATTAAGGTGCCAGGAGGAAGCTGGGTGCTCTTTCCTGTGTGGTAACGCCAAGACTGCTTTGCTAGACAAGATTGCAAGAAATTCTACGTTTATATACAATTTGCGTACAGATATGCAGGTGTATCTTTGCTGTTCGGTGGGTGAACTTCAAGTTGTGCCACAGATTTCGGCGCCAGGTCCCGAACGCGCACAGCTGCTTTCGCAAGGCGCTGTGGCTCTGGGAGCAGACCCGCCCATCCAGCGCTCCAAGGAGCTGGAGATCCGCCTCGCTGCTTTCCCCGGCGTCTGTGGCTTTTGCCGCCGGTGCGACTGTCCCCGTGTGCGGCACCGCGCCCCGCACACCGTCCGTGCGGTGACACCGCCGCACCCAAGCGCCGCCGGGGCCGCTCCCCGCGCAGGCACCGCGTCCAGGAGCGGCTGCGGCCGCGGTGTCTCCGCCAGCGCTGCCCCGCCCCGCAGCCGCCCCGCTCCGCGCCGGCACCCGCACACACGCACCCGCACACACACACCCGCACACACAGGCGCGCTCCCGCCCCGCGGGGACGCCTCGGCGCCGCCCCGCACCGCGGGGGGCAGGGTAGGGAAGGGCAGGGCAGGGACGGAGCGGACCCGCCCGCCCCGGCCCGGCCCAGCATCGGCCGCCGCCCCCCGCATCGGCCGCCGCGGCGCGGAGGGTGCAGGGCGGTGCGGGCCGAGCGTTGTCGCCGCCGCCACCGCCGCAGGAGCAGCAGGAGCAGCAGGAGCAGCTCCGCGGCTGCCGAGCCTGAGCCATGTCTGCCAGAGGTGGGTCTCCGCCGCGCCGGGGCAGCGCCGCGTCCCTGCGGGCGGCCGGAGCCACGCTGACCTTGGTGCCCGGCCGCGCTGCGGTGCCCGCACCCCGAGGGTGCGCCGGCGATTTCGGGGCAGGGGGAGGCCAGGGGATGTGCCCCCGCCGACCGTCGCCTGCCCGGTGCTGTTTTGCAGCTGGGCCGTGCAGGGGGCACCGGCACGGGCAGCAGCGGGGCTGAGCGCCGCAGAGCATCCTCCGGGGCCAGGCACTCGCCGCACCTGCCTGGCCAGGCGGGGGATCCCGCTCAGCCTTTTCCAGTGCACGGGGGGCGGCGGTGGGAGTGCGGGAAGGTGCGGCGGCTCCGTGCGCGTTAAACGAAGGTGGGAGCGTATACATGCATGCAGAGAAAGGAACATGGTGCTGAAGGTGGGCGTAGGGTTAGACCTCGGCCGTAGTTGCTGCTCAGGGAATGGAAACGGATTGGTACTGGGGGTCTGATGAGCACGGTGAGGCATGTGGCTTGTCCTGTCATTGGTAACGCAAGTGCTCCTGGTAGGGTGTGGTGGTAAATCCAATCATCAGATTGTACCTGTGATGGACATTTGCATCTGGCTTGAAATTAACGTTTTGGGTTTTACTTCAGATTTGCATTTGGTTTAATAATGGCCTAAACTTGAATAGCCTTTGTCCTTTGCATGCATTCATGTGTAGGCTCTGGCTCTGTGTTTGCTCATTCTGGGCTGGAAATGAACAGATCAGCCTCATTGACTGCAGATCCCATCTTGTCCCAAAGTTCTGCTTCCAGTATGAGAAACCGATGCAGGTGTGGTGGAAAGACTGATGCTTTAAGTTTTTTTATTATAGTTAGTACAAATTAAAGGACTGGAAACATAAAGTTAAGCATTTTCTGAACATTGTCATAACAAAGCAGAAATACTTGCAAGCATCTCCTGAAGAGAGAAAATTATCTTCACAATAATGACAAGTGAAAACACTCCCTGGTTATCTCTGAATTGAAAAAAATATTTTATAAAAATTACATATTACATATTAACAAAACCCTGAATGTAAGGAGGCATCTTATTTGTGCGTCCCTTGACTTTTCTGCATCTTCATGTGTTAAATACTGCTCTGCATGGACCAGCTCTTTCACCTGCTTGGATTCCTGTTGACATCCAAAGGAGCTACGTGCACATAGAAGACATCCTGTGACTGCTAAAAGGTTGTCGGCATTTTGTGGTTATGACCATGTTCCTAAAGCATCACACCCATTTTAGATATAAATAATAAATGGTGATAGAGCGGCATAATTCTTCATGGAACAGTAGATTTCTTGCTTTAGGAAGAAATGGACTGTATTGGTCTCCAAATAATCCATTTCTGGAAGAACATTAAGTATATGAGTATCAGTGCTGTGCTAAAGCTGCATTAGTACCTGTGGGGAAAACCCAGCAAAGCTTTATGACATGGATTAGATTTGTTGTCATCAGAAGGGTACCTGGATTTGAGAAAGCGACATAAAAACTTTGCAATTTCAGCTTTGCAGATGGCTCTCTAAAACTGAACTGTACAGAATGGGAAGCCAGGGGAAATTTCCACAGACCATATTCCCCTTTCCTCCCCTCACTGTCCCTCTTTGCTGTTCATCTGCACAACACATGATGTTTGATGCCTGCTTGATTCTGCTGGAGAGCTGCCTGGAGAAGAAGAGTGAATTCTTTCTCAGTCTCTCCTGTGCCATCTAGTTTTTTCAGAGTAATTAATTGGAGAGAGAGAGACAGCCTATAGGACTTTAGGGATGTAGTGAATAAGATTCATGAAAGAGATTAAGATTTTAATTTCTATTGATATCTCATTTTAAATTTTCACAAATTGATTTAGTTTGAAAATATGTGAGTTTGTGGAGGTAGATAGATTTATTCAGTGCTGACCAATTTTTGTGTAAAACACTATAGACCATTGTTACTATAAATAGTTTGAAACACTACTGTTATTAAAATATTACATATGAACTTATTTTTATACACTTAAGTGGTATGATGAGTCTTAATGAGGTTACTCATGAGAATGTAGCTCAAGTAAGAAGTGAGTCTTTAAGGGATTAGGGCTTTGTTCAACTGCCAGATAGAAGCCCTTTGCTTCATGAAGGCAGATTACCTCATGCATATGCGGTCTCATTAAAAACACTGTATCATTATGGTCTGCAAGCTCAGCAAATATTGATTGTTAATATTTTATATGGTGTTAGCTGCCCAAAAGGTGATTATTATTCTGAATGCATCAGACACTCTGGAACTGTCTGCTTGTTGATTATATACCAAGCATAGCTAGGATAGCAAAAGAGTTAAACATTCACCTGGGCCGTTTTTCTTACTAAACTGCAGAAGATATTCAAGGGACAGTAAAAGAATCACAGTATTATTGGTGTTCAATCTGTGCAGCTCACTATTCATCTCTTTTGCTCCAGGAGGCAGCATGTGCCTGAACTGAGTGTAGTGAACTGACTGCAACAGATGACAGAAAAAACTCCTGAAATCCAGCAGTACCCTTTTGGACTGTTCCTTTTAACTCTCCTGTTCTAGTTCCCTGGTGTTATTTGACCAAAACTGCTCATATAGTCACTGACATTATGACAGATTATAAGTCAATACATAAAGTATAACTAATAACACAAATTCATGTAATTTTGCCTTAAATGGAACTCTGAATAAATGTTTTATGCTCCCCTACTTGTACAATGGAAATAATGGAAGCTAACTTTTTCAGAGGGCCTGCTGTGAGGACTGATGGTTCCCCTGTGCCTTAAGATGAGTTTTCTGAAATTTTCCCTTTTTTTCCCTTCCACTCTTCACAGACTAGGTTGTTGCAGTACTTCACACCTGTCCCTCAGCTCTTGCTGTTATGTAAATGTAAGGTCTCTAACATCCTTCTGCCACTTTCCTTATAGTATGGCTCAAGCAGATGTGTTGACCAAATGCCGGATGAAACAGCATAGATCAGTATTCTCAGAAGCTTGAACAAATAATCATTTTAGAAATGTGGAGACTGAACTGGGAGCTGAAACAAACTTTGAAAAATGACTTTTCCTTATCAAGTTGGAGTCCTTCCCAGGGCACTCTCACATCCTGCTCTGCAGCCTGTTGGGATCAGTGGAGATCTGCCGTTGACTTCAGTCAGGCTTTTCACTTTTGCAGTTTGCAAAAGGCTTCATATTCTACTTTCAGCTGTAGTTAAGTAGTTGCTATTAGGACTCATGTATGAGTGAATTTGGGTGTTGGAGTAAGCCTTATAGATTGTTGCTTACCTAAGGGCTTGTTTGCAAAGAGCTGTAAATTCCCTGGATGAAAGACATTTTTCTAAAGCCAAGGATAACTGTGACCTACTTGTGCATGTTATCTCACACTGCTTAAAAACTGTCAAAACGACTTGTTATCGTGAAGGTCTAAGTTAATGGAAAATGGCTATTTTTAACTATTATAATCTTCAGTTAGGCTAGAGCAAGCAGTCACAAATAGGAGTGTTTAATATGGTCAAATACAAATATCTTTGCTAATTTTTTTTCTTAAATCTTAAAAAAAAGTATTGTGAGCTGTATTAAGTCCAGTAGGCAACTACTTCAGGAAAATGAAGGCATGTGAAATAGGAGGTTTATCAACAGTGGTGTGTTCTTTTTCATAACAAAAATCACTGGCAGAAGCCAGTGTTAAAGAAATATTATTGCTGTCTAATACTTACAGGTTGTACTCTGCCACTCTGATGCTGCACATGTGGTTATTGTAAAGAAGGTTGTTGCATTTTTTAGCCTGCTCAATAGTCAAAGTAGTAGAGTTATTTAGCTTAAGAATTTATTTTATACTACAATCCTTGTTTTTCCCTATTTGATTTTTTAACAAATGTAGATCAAATACTTCTTATTTCAGCCAAATAAACCACCCTAATCACTGTGTGAGGGAGGTTTTGTCCTCACTTTACAGGTGAAACAAGAACTGGGATGACATTTTTTTTCTTTTTCCCTGAGTCTGAGGGCCAGGTCAGAACAGGGGAATTTCTGCCTTCTGGACCTCTTCTCAGGCTCCTCATTTGTTGTTACACAAGTTGATAATAGATTTCTAGCAGCAGATGATAAATTTCAGCTCATTATGTTTTGCTCTGGTAACAGTTCTTTCTTCATGCTCATTGATTGGTTGATCTCTCTCACAAATGTGAACTTCTGTATGAAGAAATTGCAGATTTTTCCATGAGAAATTTACATACTAAATCTTGAGTTCCTACTATTAATAACCTTTACTTTTCCAAATTTTCTTGTCCTCCTCAGATAGCTGTAGACATGGCTGCTGTTACCATGACTTATGATTGAGATCTGTGCTGACTGGTTTAAAAACTTGCTACTGGGAGCTTCTGTTCAACAGTTTATGTCAGGCTGAGTGACCTGGAGAGTGGGGCAGTGTGAGCTGCCTGGACATCTCCTTAATTTTCGAAGTGGAGAATTTTGGCATGTTTAGAGTAGTTAATTATTGTAGCTTCAGTGCTTCCAGTCCCAGTGATTTTCACCATTTTCCTTGGTACAACGCTCCATAGCCCAAAGGAATGCGTTCTTGGCAGGGTTTGCTGCTCTGCAGCACTACCTGAGGCAGGGCTGTGTGAGCAGTCATGCCGACACAGCTGTTTCCCACTCGGAATACCTATGCAGTGCAGGGTTTGGAACTGGCTCTGATGCTTTTTCTCCTCCCAGCTTTTGCCCTGAATTTCTTTTGTGCTGATTTCATACTGTTATTTAATCCTGTCTGTACTTTCTCTTCAGTTCTTCCAAATATATGTAAGGACTTATGCTTTTTTCAGTAGTTACTCATTTTAGGGCTTGAACCTTGATTTAATGGCTTAAGTAGCTCAGAATCAGTACCTGGATCATCACTGCAAGCAGTACTTGTCTGTACATGAGAGTCAGGAGCTGCACCCGAATCTTTAGGCCTAGTAGAGCTTTTGTTTCATTCAGGAAAAAGAATATTTTACAGAG